CATCGGTCACACCCTGGTTTCAACACCACAGGTCTTGTGGGCAGCAGACTCCAGACAGCCACCCTCCCCAGGTTCAGAATTCACTCGCTGCCCTTTCCACCTCTGTGTCCCAGGTGCTGTGCCCTCATCCGTCCCAACCCCCTGGCATCAGCACTCTCCTTGTCACCACATCAGTGCCATCCGTGTCCTGCTCTGTCTTGCTACAGAGTCCGTCCCCTCACAAGTCCCAATCTGACGGCCACCCCATTGTCTGTGGTCCCCACTGCTCTGAGGACCAGAGCTGGCACTTAGGGAACAAAGCAGGCGAGAAGGACATTTAGGGACAGGCCCCCTCCTCTCTAGTTCTCCCTTCCTCGGGTTGTTTGGTGGTTTAGCAAATGGAACTCAGGTGGCAAAGCAAGTTCATGGATGCTCTGCATTTTTCTGTCATGTTTTTCTTTTTGGTGGTACTGGGTTGGACTTGGAGCCTCGCTTGCAAGGCAGGTGCCCATGTGAGCCACTCCACCAGCCCCTTTCTGTATTGGTATTTTTGAGATAAGTCTTGCTTTTCTTTTCTTTCTTTCTTTTTTTTTTTAAGACTGGGCTGACCTTGAATTGAGATCCTACTGATGTCTGCCTCCTGAGTAACTGGGATTACAGGCATGAGCTACTGGCACCTGGCTCATTTTAGTGTTTTTGAGGCTGTTTGTTCTAGGATGGCAGTTGTGGGGTGTGTGTGTGTGCGTGTGTGTGTGTGTGTGTGTGTGTGAGAGAGAGAGAGAGAGAGAGAGAGAGAGAGAGAGAGAGAGAAAATGAATATGAAGTGAGCACAAGCTGAGAATATCAGGAAAGTATAACTATTTCCATTTATTGAGCTCTTACTATTTTGTTTTTTTTGGTGCTAAGGTTTGAACTCTACACATTGAGACACTCTACCAGCCCCCCCTCCTTTTTTTATGATGAGTTTTTTCAAGATAGGGTCTTGAGAACTATCTGCCTGGGCTGGCTTTGAACCTGATCCTTCTGACCTCTGCTTCCTGAGTTGCTAGGATTACAGGTGTGAGTCACTGGTGCCCAGCATTTTTTTTTGTGGGACTGGGATTTGAACTCAGGGCTTTGCTCTTGCAAAGCAAGCATGCTACCATTTGAGCCACACCTCCAGTCCATCTTTCTCTAGTTATTTTGGAGATGGGGTCTTGAACTATTCGCCCGAGCTGGCCTCAGACCTCAATTCTCCCCATTTCAGCCCCCCAAGTAGCTAGGATTACCAGTGTGAGCCATGGCACCTGACAGCCATGTATTATCTAATAAATATTCATTAAATCCTCATCTAATAAATATTCATTAAATCCTCACAACTCTGTGACATAGGCACCTTCAGCACCATTACTACTTCACTTCCCAGATGCAGGGGCATGACACCGTGCTACTTTCCAGGACCATTTAAGTCACCCCCAAGCTGGCCCTTGGCACTGTGCACCCAGGTGGGTGAGTACGGCAACCTCTGGGCTGGGGTGGAAGGACCTCCCTCTTTCCTGAATCCCAAGCTCTCTGCACGCCCTTCTTGGAAGCCCTGGCCTTGCCCACCTTCTGCCCCTAGACGCGGGCATTTCCCTGCCTCTGTGCCCACCCTCCTTGTTTGCGCCTGTTAGATGGAGCAGTCCCTTCTGTACCCCAGACGTCATCCTCTCCCATCTCTGCCCTTCCTAGCTGTGAGACCTTGGGCAAGTTGCTTCCCCTCTCTGAGCCTCCTTTTTGGTACCTGGGAAGGAACCCACAGCCTTGCGCACACTCAGGAAGCACGCTACCACTTGAGCTATGTCCCCAGTCCTTTTGCTTGTATTTTGCTTTTGAGACAGGGTCTCGATAAGTTTGCCCATGCTGGTTTTTAACTCAGGATTCTCCTGTCTCTGCCTCTACAGTAGCTGGGATTACAGGTGTGCATCACCTTGCCTGGCTGTGTTTCCTCCTCTGTAGAATGGGAGGCATTCACAGGGGTGGTAGTGGACTTAAGGGCTGTGAAGAGGGGGAGCCCGGCACAGGGCCAGCTCTGTTGCCACTGTTTTCAGGACTCCCGTTTCTCACTTTCTCTCTTTGGCTCCTGGAGCTCCTAAATCCTGCTCTACAGCTCTCCCCACCTTCTTCCAGCCACTTCTCTCTCCCTTCTCCACATCAAGATTCTCCAAAAAAGTGGTCCACACAGTGACTCAGTTTCCCCACTCTCTCCTCACTCCAGATCAGCTTGATTCTGCTCCCACGCACCCCCCAAACTTCTTTACCAGGCTAAAACCCAAAGGTTGCTTCTTAATTGAAAGGTTCTGAGCCTGGCATGATGTGCTCACCCGTGATCCCAGCATTTGGAGACGCAGGCAGGAGGATCACAAGTTCAAGGCCAGCCTAGATTACATCATTAGACACTGCAACAAAGAAGCAACAGAAAACAATAAACGACAAAAACGGGGTCCATGTGCTTGGACCCTTTCACCAAGTCCCACCTGACCTGTCCTAATGGCCACTGCCCCATCTTGGAAACACTACTGTTGGCTTCAGGTGTCCCCATCACCTGCTTTCTCTGCTACCTCCCTGGTTTCTCTTCTGTCTACAGCTCTCTTGTCTTCCATGTGTCCCTTAAATGCTGGGACACCTCATTCCCTGGGCAGCCCACGCCCACCAGGGCTAGGTCCGGCCCTGTCCTGAGCTCCAGGTGCCTCCCGATCGCTCTCCTTCTTAAGGTTCCTCCTCAGGACACGCAGGAGCCCCACCTTCACTGTGGACACTGGTGCCCAGCTCCTAAACTACAGCCCAGGTTCACGTCTCTGAAGCGTCAGGGGCTTCTAGCCTCCCTGCGCCGGGGTGGTTAGCGGCTCCCTCTGCTGCCCGCCCTGGGTACTGCATCTCGCCTCGCCCCTTACCCCACGCACTCCATAGCGGTCCTTTCTCGGTCCTCTGGCCGGCTCCTCCCTTGGCATACACCACCATCGTCCTCACCCGTCTGATCCTTCTCTAAACTACCCTCTTCTTCCCTTCCTCGCCCGTCACCCACACGATCCAGTCCCTCAGCCCCCTTCTGTTGCCTGGGTCCCGGCGCCATCCTCTTCCCTGCTCTCCAGCCTCTGGGATCACAGGCAGCCAGGAGGAACGTTTGAAAGTATAAATCACCTGCCTGCTTTTCTCTCTCCTTTAAATCCCTTCCAAAGCTCCTCTTTAATCTTGAAATAAAGTCCAAGCTCCTTAGTGTGGCTGATAAGATCTCTTATAATTGGTCCTCTTAAGTTGTCTCCACTCTCCATTCCCCTTGCATCCCCCACAGGTCTGCACACCTTTACATAGGCTGGGCCCTTCACCTAGAGCACACGCGCGTGCGCACACACTCACACGCGCCCCTCCTGTCCCAGGATTGAGAAAGTTACTCGCTTTATTTAGGAATCTCCATCAACTCCAGCTTTCCTCTGGCTCCTGTGTTTCCAGGATGCCCTAAGAGGAAGAGGGTGGCTGACGGACCGGGGCGTGGCTAGTGGAAACGCTTGTCCGACGGGTGGAGGCGTGGCTATTGGAAGCCCAGCTGACGGACGGGGGCGTGGCTAGTGGAAGCCAATACTGGTGGGCGAGGGCGTGGCCAGTGGACCTCCGACAGCTCTCAGGTGTGGCAGGTGGATGTGGGTATGTCCTGCCCAAGGCCGGGAACTCTAGAAACGCAGATTGCCTGGTCTGTTTCACAGTTGCCTAAATCTCACTCAGAGACCGCGTTAGCTCCCTTCTCCTGAATCCCAACTTCCCACGGGAAGACTGTTTTTCAGGCAGACAAAGTTTTATGGCAACTTTTACAGAAACCACAGAGAAGACAGCGACGGATGCGGACGAGCCAGGGGAGAGGAGAGGAGCGGGGAACGCGCCTGGGATGGTGGGGCTGATGCACAAGTTGGTAACAGGGTGCGAAAATTTGGGGGAAGCAGGTTATGGGGGGGTGACAGGGTCATCCTAGGGCCACAAGGAGTGGGCAAGCACTCCCCATCCCCCAAGAGAGTACTTTAGGCAGGAAACATCAACAGTAAGAAAATGCAGATGGCCTACCCACAGATGGGTGGCCTCCAAAGTTAAAAATGCCCACCCAGACCCAAGTCCAATCCCACCCTCCCACCCTCCCCGACCCCCGCCCCCCAACAGGCAGAGATGTGGCAGCATTTGCTGGCTTGTAGCATTGGTCCTCTGGACCCTCGGTCTCTTCTTCGAGGGTCCTGCCCGGATTGGCTGGCACTGAGGGCAAAATGAACCTTCTAGATTGTCAGGGGAGATCGGCTGGAGTCCCTTTGATTCCCTCTCCTCCCCAAAGCCGATTCTCAAGGTTGAGGGAGTCTGCTGCCCTTTAAAAAGGAAAGTCTCTCACCCTCCCTTCCCCCAAGACATGCACCCTCCCGCGTCCCCCTCCCCCAAACACACTATGTACACGCGCAGGCCCCTCCCTCCAAGGCGTGGCTGGGCTCTCAGAGGTAGTGGAGGGCAATACGGGCACTGGAATGTGAGAAGTTGCGGGTTCAAAACGTGTCTCCAGTTGAGGCTGGGGACTGAACCCCCAAACTTCTCCCTTCCCCAAGCCTCCAGGGTTAGCATCCTCCCAACAGCCTGAGTGGGGGGATCAGGAGAGACCGGTGCCCCCATGCTCCGCCCCCTGGGGCTGGGCGGAGCTTCCTGAGGGGTTACGGGGAAGGGCAGAGATAGATGGCCCACCCCTGGGGACACAGATGTCAACAGGAGAAGGGGGACATCCTCCTTCCGGACACAAGCAGGCTGGGTGTCTAGGGAGACGGAGTTGATGAATTCTCTGGAGGAATTTTCACCGGAGTTCTCTGGGGAGCCCGGGGTGATGGAAGAGGCTCTGGAGGGGAGGGGACAGGAGGCAGGGGCGATGGGACCCCCAGGAGAACAGGAGGCTGGATCTCAACAGGAGGCCGAGTCTCTAGGGAGGAAGGAGCTGAGTCCCAGGGGACCAGGCTGAGTCTAGAGAAAGAGCCGGGTGCGGGGGAGTCCAAGAGCAGGTGGCAGCCCAGTCCCCCAGGGGTGGGGTGGCGTTGGGGGAGGATGGCGAGGACCCTAGAAGCCCCTGATGTGACAGTAGGCCTCGAGGCTGGCGAAGAGGATGTAGAGGAACCAGAGGCCCAGGAAGAGCGCGGTGGTGGCCAGCTTGGGGCCGCGCGGGCCGCCCAGCTCGCCGCCGATGTGCGGCCGGCGCCGGTAGAGCAGCACGGCGATGCCCACGAAGGCGAAGACGGTGAAGAGCGTGACCGAGAAGGCCAGCGTGCCGGTGCGCACCTCGAACGGCCGGCCCTGCACCGCCCAGTACACGGCGGCCACCGACCAGGCCACGCCCAGGCCCAGGAACACGTTCACCGCGTTGGACCCGGTCACGTTGCCGATGGACGCGTCCGCGCACTGGTCCTGCAGCGCGGCCACCTTGCTGGCGAACGTGTCTGCGGGGACAAGACGCCACGGGTCGAGGGGCTGCACGGTCCCCACCCCCACCCGATTTCCACAAGACCCCGAGGCTCTGTGGCCCACCGCCACCCCGTCTGCATTCAGTGGGCGCCACTGCATACTTTCTATGGGACTTAGGACCTTTTTGGATGGGGCTTGTGTGCGTTCAGGAGCCTCCACTGCTTGTTAGGAGACTCAGACTGCCCCTTTCTAAGGGACTTGTCTGCACTCAGTGGGCGCCACTGTCTACTTTTTGTTGGACCCGCTGCCTGCTTCCTGTGAAGCTGGCTGCCTGCGCCCTAGGCTCCCTCCCAGCGCCATCACTGGAGCTGTGAGTCCCCACACCTAGTCCTCTTGCTCCTGTAAGAATGTCACACTCATCACCTTGCTTTTCAGATGCCCCCGTCTGGTTTATTGGGGATGAGGGGATCGCGGCCACTGTGTTTCTCTCTCGGGACACATGCATGCAGGCTACTGTCTGTGAGGCCCTGCCGCCTCATCTCTGTGGCACGTCCCCTTCATCATCTGGGCCCTAAGCTCCTCTGACTGGGAACTCTGAGAGTCACCGGCCGATTCCCACCAACGCAGTGTGGCTCCGCAGAACCTTCTGTCTGGCTCCTTGAGGGAGGACGGCATCCACGTCTTGTTGCCACAAACCCACTGAATGGTTTCTACAAAGTTTTCATGGGGCACCATGGGCCTCCCTCCCACCCCGACTCTTCACACCCACCACCGTCTTTCTATAGAGTCCAAGTCTGGTTTCTACCTTCTCCATCGCCTTAGTTTCATGGGACGTGCCACCTGCTTGCTTTGGGGGAACATTCAATTCACATATGGCACCCATGGGACACTCTGGAGTCTGTTGTGACCGTACCTTGTTTCTCCGGAACACACCAGCTGGGCTCTGTAGGATGCTCCCCTCCCTTCCTTCCTTTTTCCTCCCTCCTTCCCTTCTTTCCTTCTCTCTCTCTCCTCTCCCACACTACTGGGGCTGGAACCCAGGGCCTGAAGCACGCTAGGCAAGAGCTTTACCACTTGACCCACTACAACCCTTTTGTCTTGCTACCATTCCCTGGGCTGGCCTTGAAGTGGAGATCCTCCTGCCTCCTCATCCCAAGTATCTGGGATTACAGGCAGGCACCACCACGCCTGGCTCCCCACCTTATTTCGGTGGGACCCTTCCCTTAGGCTGCACCTGCCAGGCTTCTCTGAGACCCTACCTAGCAGTGTGTGGGGCATTACCAGGGATGGAGGTGCCCAGAGCCACGAAGACGACGGCATTGACAGAGTCTTTGAGGCCCACGGTGCAGCCAAAGTGGGAGGCGAGGTCACCGATGAGGGCAGTGAGCAGGCCGATAACCAGGATGCAGACGCCAAAGCAGGCCCAGCCGTGGCAGTACTCAGTGGGGGGCACACAGGCAAACAGCACCTTCCAGAAGACCGTCAGGAAGTGCATCACGTAGTCAAAGCAGGATGGCAGCCGCTCCTCCCGGGACCCGTCCTCCTCCTCTTCCTCGTCCCCTGTGGGCACACGACCCAGCTGGGGCACACACCCGTGCCTCCTCCTTCCTTGCCTACAGAGTCCCACAAAGCCAACTGATTTCCCAGAATCCCCTGCAGCTAGGGGAGGCCATAAACACCTGGCTAAAAACACCCAGCTTACCAGGATCCCGGGCAGCTAAGATGGTCGTATCCCTAGCTACATGTGTTCCTTTTGTCAGAGCTTTTGCAGCTACTGAAAATTCACTCATCTGATCCACTGCGGCTAACTGCAGCCACCTACCACTCAAGGTACCCTTCCCCAGGATCTCCCGCAGCAAGAGATAGGAACACCTGGCTAAAATTAGTGGCTTTCCCGGAATCCCTTGAGGCCAGCAATGGCCATGTCCTCAGATAAGCATACCCACTTTCCCAGAATTCCCTGCAGCTAGCAATACTAAATGCGTGCTTTCCCAGAATCCCTTGCAACCGTGGCCATCTCACCCAGTGTGGTGACCAGCTATAAACTGAAGGTTTCTGGCAGGCTCTGTGATTTGCGCACAGTGTTTGTATGGCTGTGTTTTGTGAGCTTTGTAAAAGATGTCTCATCCTTAGAACGTGTCACCTATTGTGACCTAATCTGACCTGCTTTTTGCTTGCTGTGACTTGTGTGAGGTGAAATCACAAAATGTTTAGTGAGCTCGCCCTGAGCTGATACGCATGAGGCGATGACAGGGAGAGAAATGAACACACTTGTGTGTGGCAAGTAGTGCATCTGGAAGGTCGCTGATAAGAAACACGCAGCCAGGACCAGTCACTCCCAAGCCACGCCCACCCAAGCCACGCCCGCTCCCCAAACCACAGGCGATCAGAGCTGCTTTGAGAATGTCTGTGAGCACAGAACACCTGCTGGTGGCAGAGGCAGTGTGACTGATGTGGGGACCCAGGTCAGAGAACCTGCTCCCATTTTTCCAGCTTACTGAGCAACTTGGCTTGTGAAAGAAAGAAATGCTTGATTTGTAAATGTTCAACCCAGTGGTTTTTGGTTCGGCTTCATCTCAAAGAATGAAGTTTTGGGACCCAACTTCATGGCTCATGCCTGTAATCCCAGCTACTGAGGAAAAGGAGATGGGAGGATCATGGCTTGAGGCCAGCCTGAGGAAAAAAGTTAGCATTATTTTAAGTCACGTGGTGGCTCACATCTGTAATCTCAGCTACTTGAGAGGCTTATGTAGGACTCGGATCAGAGGCCAGCCCGGGCAAAAATCGGGAGACCCTATCTGCAAAACAACTAAAGCAATAAGAACTGGTGGAGTGGCTCAAGTGGTAGAGTGCCTGCCTAGCAAGTGTGAGGACCTGAGTTCAAAACCCAGTGCCACCAAAAAATAAAAAATTAGGGAAAAAAAAAAAGGTTTTCATGCAACCGTGAGTAAAATAGAAGTAGAAACTAAAATTGGAAACTCAAACTCAACAGACACACTGCCCCCTTCCTCTTTCTTCCTTCTTGGAATATGCACTTGACACCTGGAGGTGCAGGAGCCATTTTGCAACCATGAGGACAAGAGCGGAGAATGGGAAGGCAAAACAAGGGAGAAGCAGAGTGTTTAAAGGCATTACTGAGCTTGTCACCTACTTCAGACTTTTTCCCACATGCAAAAAAAACCTTTTAGCATGCTTCAGCCACTTGTAATGAGATTTCTGCTGGACTCATCCCTTACGGAACCACAGTGAGTCATGGTTGTGGTCAGAACAGGGAGGACACACACATCCTCAATGTCTCATTGCCATACTGAGTGAGATGGCCACTGTTGCAAGGGATTCTGGGAAAGCACATATTTAGCATTGTTAGCTGCAAGGAATTCTGGGAAAGTGAGTATTTTTATTTGAGGACATCCCCTGTTGCTAGCCTCAGGGGATTCTAGGAAAATCACACTTTAGGGAGGAGGGGGCTCTTGTCCTTGAGTCACCTGAAGCTTCCCCCTGCCCTGCTCCAAATTCTGCTGTGGCTCCCTACTGCCCTCAAGGCCAGTCTATATCTAGCCCCGGTCTGTACATCTTCCTCATGCTCCAACTAGACACTGTCCCCTAATATGCCCTAATATCACTCTTCTACACTCTCTTTGTCTTCTCTCACCTTGTGGATGACATCTGTGTCTATCTGGAGACTTGACACAGGTGCCACTTCCTCTGGGCAGGCTTCCTTGACCTCTAGGCTAGCCCAAGTGCTCCATCTGGATATTTCTGGGGTCACCAGTCCCAGCTCTTGGCTAGTCGCTCTCGTGGGGCATATCTATCTTCCACACCAGACTTTGAACTCCATGAGGAGAGGACCAGGGCTGTCCTGGTCACTTTGTGTCTCCTTCCCCCAAGCAATGTCCCTTATGGGGCAGGACCCAGAGGATCCCTCAGAAAAATAATGAAGGAATGTGGTTTCAGAGAGAGGTGCCATTTGGAGTGGGTCTACATGTGATCTCAGTGGCTTGCCACCTTTTCTATCTCCCAAGCCTGGCTTTTTTGGATCCCACTGTCTACCTCCTCCCCACCCCCCACCGCCGGGGGCTCCCTGAAGGAAACCCAGTGTTGTGTACTGGACAGAGCCCTGATCTCTGACCTTGGTCTCCTTCTGAGTTCCCTGTAGAACTTCAGATCAGTCTTTCCTCTATCTCTAAGCCTGTTTCCCCAGTCCGTATCACAAGGGAGTCTCCAAGATGGCACCTGGGGATCCATGTGTCATTGTGTCCCTGGCCACACGGGGGCACTGCGGGTTCACAGGAGGCCTAAGGAGGGTGGGGACCACACAGGTGGGGGAAAAGAGCACAGTGCCCTCCCCACTGTCTCCATGGAAACAGAGGAGCCCAGCCTCTGTCTCAGGAGACAGGCCACCTCACCTGTCCCTACCTTCCAACTGCCTGATGCTGCCCCCAGGGAACACCTGAGCTGAGGCTGGGACCCCTCCTCCCTCAGCCCTCCCATCCATTTCCCCTGGACCTTCCCCTTGGCCCTGTGGGTGCCGCCTTCCTCTGCGTCTCCTCCTCCCTCCCTCCCCACTTACCTGCGCTCACTGTAACTGCCTCTAAAAACTGCTCTCTCCACGAGTGGGTCCCGATCACCAAGGCCAAGTTGGTTTTCTTGATGAGTTTATCCACCGTGTTCTGGGGAGGAGACAGCGGGGGTGAGGTCACTGTCCGTCAGCACCCCGGATGGCTCTAGGAATGGCTCTGCAGCTGGGGCTCCCAGCCATGCTCGGGGTCCTCCACCCTCCCTAGCCCAGCCCTCCCAGCCAGCAAGAGGGGCTGCGCTGTCCGTGGTGCTGACGTTGACCCCGGACAAGGGCCAGAGACGCCTGGCTCGAAGCCCCTTGGGCTCTTCATGGTTCCTCCTTTCCAGACCCTCCGCAGGAAACTGGTGCAGCCCATGGAAGACGAGGCCCCGACGATCACCTTAAAGTCATACGACTCCTCGATGATGACTTCCAGCCGGCAGTTTTCCCCCAGTACTGGCTTGCCCATCTCTGCTATCCTCCGGGCCTCCTCCTCCTCTGCTGTCAGCTTCCTGTCCCCATCCCCTGCAGCATGAGGGATAGGACTTAGACTCCCAAGGGGACCTACCTTACTGGGCCTGCGATGCCTTTCCTACTAGTTCCCTTAGACAGAGTAAACCTATTTGCTGACCTCTGGATGCCCCGTCAGTGACACGGCCCGCCCTCCCCTCTTGCTTCCTCCTGAGTCGCAGGAAGCTCATCAGGTGGGCATTGGCGCTCAGCCGCTGTGTGACCTTGCACAGTGCCTTGGCCTCCCTGTGCCTCCGTTTTCACATCTGTGCAAAGGGCACGGTGACAATACCCACCTCACAGGGTGTCTGTGAGGGCTAAGTTAGGCAAGTTAAACTATTGTGCCTGGTGCACAAGAAATATTCAAGTGCTATTTCATTTGTTTTTGTCACCAACATCATCATCGCCATCTCCATCCTGTGGGAGGAGGTCTGCTCTTAGCATCCAAGCTCTGGAAGTATCCTCGAGTGTCTGAGGCGTGAGGAAGGGTACTGATTTGGACACAAATCTTGGACCCAGACTTACAGACGTCCTTGCCCTGAGGGCATTTATATTTTGCTCCTTCACTCAAAGGCCAGCACCAACTCAACCCCAACTCTGGACCCCAACTCCAAGCCTGGTTCTACCTGTGGCCCCAAATGTAACTCTGTCACCAACCCTGACTCCAAACCCCAACCCTAAGGCCCCGTCCCAACTCTAACACTCAACATACCTGACCGATTAAGAACCCCAGTCCCTCCCCAAACTCCAACCCTAGATCGCACCCCAGTTCTATACTTGACGCCAGACCTCAGAGCCAACTCCACCTCCGACACCACTAACAAAGAACCTGACTTTGTAGCCAATTTCTTTTTCCTCTTGGGCAAACAGCTGGACTACATTTCCCAGCCTTCCTTGAAGCTGGGTGTGGCCATGTGACTGAGTTACAGCCAATGGAATGCAGGAAGAAGTGATGGACAATTGGTCCTCTAAGACCTCCCAGCAGCTCCTTTAAACTGCCTTGCCTCGGGGCCCAGGGACATAGAAAGGTAGAGTCACAAGATGGCAGAAGAAAACCATCCACCAACCAGGAAGACTCATAAAACTGCCTAAGAACTTATGGCCAGTGTGGTGACGCACACCTGTCACCCCAGCACTCGGGAGGCTGAGTCAGGAGGATCTCAAGTTTAAGGCCAGCCTAGGCTACACAGCAAGACCCTGTCCATGGGGAAAAAAAAAAAAAGGAAAGGAAAGGGAACAAGAAATAACTTTTACTATGTTAAGCACTGGGAATTTGCAGGTCTATTTGTTACATATCCTAACTAAAACTATCTGTAGTGTAACCTAAAAATCCTAACCACAAGTCCAAGTTCTGACCTTCACTCCAAAGCTACTCTGTCACTATCTCCAAGTCACTGATCCAACTTTGACCCCAATCTCTGAGCCTGATCCCAATTCTAACCCCAATTCCTGACACCCTGAACTCAGCCTAGATGTACACTGGACATGAGTTCTAATCTGCTTAAGAACTGCTATCTGAACTCTCACCTTGATTCAGTTAAATACTGATCTCAAATCTCATCCTACTGCAGTCCAACCAGGCTCCAACCTGATCCTCTTCAGTCCCACAAACCCAGACATGATTCTATGACTGACTCCCCTAACCTAGACGACAAACGTAACCTTCAGGTCCACACCTTATCACTCCCGACTCACACAACTCCAACCTTCATCAAATCCACCCCAAATCTTCTTGTCTCTCACCTCCAACCTCCCTCATGGTAACCTGCCCCACAACACACCCTCCATGGCTCCTCCCACTCAGTGCCCAGCGGGACCCTACTCACCTTGATTGAGGAGCAGAGCTGGGGAGAGACAGAGACAGGTACACAGTGAGATCACTTCCCCATGGTGCTCAGATTCACGAGTTTGAAGGAGTGCCCACAACTGAGCCCCTGGGGTGAGTTCCCCCAGCCCTGGGACCCTACTTCTCCCACAGCCCACCTGTCACACCTCACCTGAAATCCCTCGCTTAAGCCACTGGGGCTGGCCCAGTTCAATGAAGAAGTTGTCCTTTTTTTCATATTCTTCATCATCAACTATTTTCACCTGGAGAGTTTTCCTGGGGATGGGGGGCATAGAACACCAGCATAAAGCCCCCTCCCCAGAGCCAGCAGGTCACCTTGGCTTCCTGATTGCCCAAGCACCACCTCCACCCCAGACTCCATCATCTAAACCTCATGATGACCCTGAGAGAGGGTCCACTGTTGTCTCCACCTGTCACAAGCAAATTCAACTCCTCAAAACATTTTCAGGGGTCTCACTCAAAAAAAAAAAAGTGAATGATCCACAAGGTAATGGTTCCCTCTGGCCTCTGGGCTCTTCCTCAAACATGCCAGGCCTACTCGTATCTCAGGGCCTTTGCACTGGCTCTCCCACTGCCTGGAACACACTTCCCCAGCCTCATTCCCCCAGGGCCTCCAGTTCTCTGTTCAGACTTGAGCTTTCCATTACCTTACTTAAGACTGAAATCCAAGCTGGGCACTTGTGGCTCATGCCTGTAATCCTAGCTACTCAGGAGGCAGAGATCAAGAGGACTGTTTGAAGCCAGTCCTGGTAAATAGCTCGCCAGACCCTTTCTCGAAAAACCCTTTACAAAAATAGGGCTGGGGAGTAGCTCAAGGTGAAGGCTCTGAGTTCAAGCCCCAGTACCGCAAAAAAGAAAGAAAAAAAAAAAAAAGAAATCCATTGCCACCCCTCTCAACTGCCCCACCCCTTCGCCCTGCTCAGCCTTCTTTTTTTCCAAATCACATTGTTTTGTGTACTTTTTGGTCTTGCCTGGATTGAACCCAGGGCCTCCTTCTTGCTAGGAAAGCACTCTACCCCTTGACTCAAATCCCCACGGCTTTTGTCTTTAGTTTTTTGTTTTTTTCAGACAGGGTCTCACGATTTTGCCTAGGCCAGCTTTAGACCATGATCCTCCTAACTCTGCCTCCTGAGTAGCTGAAATTACAGGGGTGGACGGCCACACTTGGCCTCCAAACACATTCTAACACACCATCTAATGTATTTACTTGTTTCATTTATGTTTTTCTTTGCCACCTCACTTTATAATTTCCACCAGGTAAGCTCACTTCTGTTCTTTGTTGTATTCCCGATACCGAGAACAGTGTCTGGCACACAGCAGGCCCTCCACAAATATTTTGTTTACTGAAGTCCTTCAGTATAGAAAGTCCTCCACTTCCTGACCTCCATCCTGACCCCACCTGGAGCTTTAACTGAGTGCTAATGGCAGCCAGGGGGTGGCAGGGAGACAGCCAGACCGTTACCTGTCCCCTTCAGACACACGACCCACATCCCCACAATCACAAAGCCCCACAACCCCAGAATGCCCCCAGATCTCCCACTAGAAACTCTCTGAGCTGGAGGAACTGTGTATGTGGCACACAAGGCCTGGTCCCAGAACCCAGCCACACAAACAGCCTGCCCACACTGTCACCCAACAGAAGAAACACCACCAATCACACCACCCACCTCCACAGCCCTCACACTCTGCAGCAAAATTGCACAGACCAGATGCCTGTTAGCACGACACCCCCACCACAACCATCGCCAACCTGCAGAGCCCCACTGTGGTGTCACGGATCACACTTCTGAGATTTCACTCTCTCTGCCATCTAAACTTCACTCTGGACCTCTGTCTCTCTTCATCTTTCTCTCTCTCTTTTGCTGTCTCTGACCCTCCCTCTGTTGTGGTCACTCCCCTTTTCTCTGCCTTTTCTTCTTTATCTGGATTCTTCTCTCCTTGCCCCAAGAATGAAATAATCAAAGCTAATACAATCCAAACAGAAGGGTTTCAATCATGTAGTCATTCAACAGAGGAATCTCAAGCCAGGCATGGTGGTACACACCTGTAATCTCAGCTACTTGGGAGGCGGAGGCAGGAGGATCTCAAGTTTGAGGCCAGGCAGGACAAAGTGAGGGAGACCCTGTCTCAAAAACAAAATACAAACAAGAGGGCTGGGGGTGCAGTTCAAGTGGTATTGTGCTTGCCTAGCATGCAGGAGGCCCTGGGTTCCTTCCCTAGTATACCAAAAGAGGAGGCATCTCAACGAACAGACACAGCCCACAGCCAAGCCCGTGCAAGGGATGCTGCACACGAGACGGTTATGTGGGGACAAGCTCCCTCCTCCACCCTCCTCATTCCAAGATATTTTAAATTTCCTGTAGGTGGGAAGAAAGGGCCACCCTGACCTAAGGAGGGGCCTGGGATCTGTCCCTGGTGCTGAAACAGCACACCAAGTACTGGGGTCTCCCAACACACGCTGCTCACACCAAGAAGCACGCAGCTGCCGACACAGTGACACACTGGCATGGTGACACACACATCCCCATCGTGCACTCTGGAAGACACGCCGTGATCCACTGACAAGCAGTGACTGACACATGGTGACTGACATGCGGTGACAGGCACGTCAACTAGTTCCCTGGCAGACCTAGGAAGAGAAACTCAGCATATAGGAGACAGCAAGAAATACTCTAGCCGGGCTCTGGTGGCCACTCCTGTAATCCTAACCACTCAGGAAGCAGAGATCAGGAGGATCATGGTTTGAAGCCAGCCCGGGCAAACAGTTTGCAAGACCCTCTCTCCAAAAATCCTCTCATAAAAAAGGGTTGGTGGAGTGGCTCAAGGTGTAGTACCTGAGTTCAAACCCCAGTACTGCAAAATAAATAAATAAAAGACTCCAGGTAGACAAGGGCTTCCTCAGTTCTAAGCAAGCAGCCTCGTCCTCAGCCTGCTCCCTTGTTTCCTAGAAAACCCACTCCCCTGCCCCTCACCCTCAAAGCCTCTGATTTCAGCCATCTCTTTCTCATCCTGGCCCCCCTTGTCTCTTACTGATCCCAATTCTCCCTCCTCTTCGTAGCATCGTGAAGATCTCTTTCCCTGGGTCTGAGCCTCTGGAGCTCCATGTCATTTTTATCTGCCCTCCATCTCTCTCCCTTTCAGTCTTCCCGGACTGCAGTCTTCCCAATCTCTTTCTTCTCAATGAATGCATCTGTTTCCTTCTTCCATTGTCTCTATCCCTTTTTCTGTCTTTTTGTGTCTGTCCCTCTTTTGCTGTCTTGTCTCTGTTAAACTGTCTCTGATTTTCCCTGTCTTTTCCTCTAGTCTCCTCTGTCTCTCTCTGTCTCTCTCTGTCTCTGTCTCTCTCTCTCTCTCTTGCTCTCTCTCCCCCTCGCCCCCCCCAATCTCTGTGTTGATCCTGCCCAGGTCTCTTCTCTAGCCTGGTTGCTTCCAAGCGCTTCTAATTAGCGCCTGCCCCTCAGAAGAAGGATGTGTTTCCCTAAACGCTAATTAGCCTCCTGTTCTCTGCCTCCTAAAACCACAGCTGGAAGCTTTGCACGGGGGTGGGGGACAGAAGGTGTCCCAGGCTGGGGAAGCCATCCGTGTGGGAGGAGACGGCCCTGTGGGGTTGCAGCAACAAGAGGGAAGCATTTAGACTACAAGGACAGGATTCCCCCTGCCTCTTGGGTGTAAGAGATGAGGCCAGGATTGTACCTTCTCTCCCTCCTAGCAGCTAGCAATCCAAGTTCTCAACAACCCTTAAATCAGACAGAGAGATGGAGGGCTCTGGAGTCTGCGTCTGAAATATAACTTGAGCCAGAGAACTGGTCACTGGGGACAGAGAGACAGAGATTAATTAAGACACAGGGACCCAGAGAAAGATCGCCTGGGAAGCTAGAGACGCAGATGCAAAGCGCGAGATGGAGAGCTGGGGAGCCTGAGCAGCTGAGCGCTGCCCAGGCGAGGCAGGGAGGATGGGAGGGGGAGGAGGAGGAGGGAGGGAGAGGAGGAGGGAGCGCGGTGGGGGCTCAGCCGGGTGGGAGGCGTGTGGGCGGCAGAGAGGAGGGAGACAGACGGGCTGCGGGGGCGGCAGGGAGCGGGCAAAGGAGCCGGAGGCGCGGTGTGCACCCAGCAGGGGCATGGGGGAGGTGAGGCTGCAGGCATCTGAGCCAGGGGGCGGCTGGTCCTGTGTGAGAACAGCCGGGATTACGTTGGGTGTATGTGTCTGTGTCCACGCGTGTGTCTGTGTGAATGGCTGGGCCAGTCTGTGTGTCTACGTATGTGTGTCTGTGGATCCAGCCCTCCAGTTGCCCCAGTGCTCACCTGCCTAGGCCCCCGCACTCCTACACCATCTTCCCCTAAAGTCTGGTCCACATTCCCCATAGGTCTCCTGCTATGTCCCCAGGATCTTCCTCGCACTCACAAGCCCTCCTCCCGGCCCCACCCACATCCGTGGGCCCCGCCTTTTTCCTCGGCCCACGTGCATTTCCTGTCTGTACTCAGACTTCAACCATCGCCTTGGCGCTGCCTCTCTGCACAGACAGCGACCCACCGCGTTAGGATCCTCCCCTCATCTCTGTGGGTCTCTCCTCTAGGCCACATCTCCACCAGTTACCAGTTAAGGTGCCACATCACTTTTCCCTCCCCAAATCCCTAACCCATCTCCTGTCCATCTGTCCTCACCTTACACCCCAGGCCCTTCTTACTTGTCCGGCCCCTTCTCTGGTCCAGCTCACAATCACGACCTACCCAGGCCTTGCCCGTCTACCCAGTCGTTTCATTTCTCTGACATGGCCCAGCACAGACCCCACCTATCTACAGTAAGCCCACTCTGTCACTACAGCTCTCGCCCTCTAACCAGCCAAGCTCCACTTCTCTGGGATGCCTCCCTAATACCCCCGCATCTGAGGGCCAGCCCTCCCTCCACAGACTCGCCCCTTTCTCGAGCTTGGCCCTCCCTCCGAGGCCCCGCCAGATCTCAGCAGCCCCGCCCTCTCCCAGCTAAGCTCCTTTTCAATAGCACGGCCCCACCCATATACAAGGTTCTGCCCTATCTCCAGGCCCCGCCCACTGTCAAGGCCCCGCCCAGTACCCCACAGCCCCGCCCACTCCCAGTCTAACTCCCTTTCTCTAGCATGGCCCCACCCACCTACAAGGTTTCCACCGTCTCAGGCCCTACCTACTTTCAGGCCACGCCTCCCAACCTTGTCAATCTCCATTGCTGGGGCTTGCCCCAGGCCCCGCCCATTGTCAGGGGCCCCACCCCCTCTGCCGGCCACTCTCCTTTCCCTAGCATGGCTCCACCCATCTACGAGGTTCCGCCCCATCTCCAGACCCCGCCCACTTATCCAACCTGCTCCAGGCCCCGCCCCCGCCCGCCGGCCGCGCGCTCACATGGTCTCGTCGTCGCCGAACTCGAGCTCGCCGCACGCGTCCTCGTAGTGCACGCCGCCGCCGCGGGCCGTGCCGTCCACCGTGCGGTAGGGGAGGCGCACGGTGCCGCGCGCGCCCGAGCTGCGCACCACGCGCACGTCCACGGTGCCCATGCACTCGCTCACGTGCAGCAGGCGGTCCTGGAAGGAGAAGATGCCCGCGTGGTCGTCGTCCAGGATGGTGACGGTGGCCAGCAGCGGCGCCACCAGCCGCCCCTTGGGCCGCCCACCGCCGTCCGGCTCGAACATGCCCTGCGCGTCGCCCACGCGCAGGTTCAGCAGGCGCACGAAGAAGTGCTCGTCCTCCTCAAAGATGTCGTCGTCGATGATACCGATGCGCACCTCCTTCTGCGTCTCGCCTGGCTTGAACACCAGCGTGCCCTCGCTGTGGCGGAGGCGGGGGAGAATGGGAGGGAGGGCCGGTCAATGGCCGGTAATTAGTGTGTGTGGGGATCACGATGGCTTCCTGGAGGAGGCCATGCAGGGGGGTTGGGCGGAACATCAGCCCCCTCCCAAGTAGGACTCATGAGGATCAGGAGGGCGGGCTTCTTGGGGGAGGCGACCGAAAGGAGAAGGTGGGGGTTAGTTGACAGGCAAGCTCCAGGCGAGGAAGCAGGAGCCTGCAGTGTTCTCCAGCCCGCTTCTCAAAATTTAGCGTGCACGTGGATCCCCCGGGGATCTGTTAAAGCAGGAGTCGGGTTCGAAAGCCTGCTCCCAGAGTTTTCATTTCTAAGTAGTTCCAGGGCCTGTGGATTCTGGTTCCGGGACCACACTTGAGTAGCAGGGATTTAGGGCCCTTAGGACAGACCTCATCACTCCTCTGATAAAAATCCTTCACGGTGTTCTCAGGTGCCTCCTGAGAGGGGAAGTCCGCACTACGTCAAATGGCCTTGTTCATTCATTCCACAAACACACCCTGAGCACCTGTGCCCTGTGCTGAATGATGCTGGGTCCTCTCCCCATGTATCCCAGAGACAATTACACATTATTAATTTAGTGAAAAATAGCCAAAGCAAAAAGTACTGGGGGTGTGGATCAAGCCTAACAAGCACTACCAAAAAAATAGATACGTTCCTGAATTTCCCACCTTCTGCTATCTCTTAAGTTTAAGCTTAAATCTTAGAGTTCTGAAATCCCAGAATGATTCAAATTTATTGAGCCCCACCCCTAGTCCTTTTTCCTTTAGTTATTTTTTCAGGTAGGGTCTTGTGTTTTTCCCCAGGGGCTGGCCTGAGACTGGCACCCTCCTACCTATGTGTGCTGTGCAGCCAGAATAACAGGAATGAGCCACCATGCTCAGCTTATGGGTTGAGATGACTTTTTGTCCTGTCTGGCCTCAAATCACAATCCTCCTGATCTCTGCCTCCTGAGTAGCTGGGATTACAGGTGTGCACCATTTAGCATTATCTTTACCAAACAATGGACAGCTCCAGTAATGGGCAAGTGGACTTTGTGTGCTTCCTGATACAGTGCACCCAGGAGCAACCCTCCCATGGAATTCCTGCCTCAGGTGCAGAACTCCAGTCTAATTACAAGGCAACAAACTCAAATTAAGGCCTGGCTCAGCCTCTTCAAATGCTTTGGGGAGAGCTGGGGGCCTGGTTCAGGTGTTAGAGCACCTGTCCAGCAAGCAGGAGGTCTTGAGTTTAAATTCTGATACTGCCAAAAAAAAAAAAAAACAAAAGAAAAAGAAAAAAAGCTTCAGGGACACCAAAGTCATGGGAAGGCTGAGAGACTGACCCAGGACAGAGATGTGACAACCAAACACAGTGTGTGGTTCTGATGGAATGGGAAGAGAAGGAAGGAGAATTCAGTCATAGGATGTCACAGGGTGATATCCACTCAGTGTTAAATTCCTCCATGTGATCACTGTGCACTGACTATGGAGGGACATCATTATTCTTGGGATGACACACACTCAAGGATTTAGGGGTGAATGGTCTGCGGGTCACTCTCATAGACTGTCACAAATGATGTTACATTGAAACAGTGAAAGCAAACAGCCTGGGATTCTGGGTGAGGGTTATATGAGGATTCATCAAACTGAATTCATCACCCTCTGTGGGTGTGAACATTTTCAAAATAAAAAGTTGGGCAGAGCTGGGTACTCCTACCACTCAGGAGGCTGGTGTAGCAGGATCAGGAGTTCGATGCCAGCCCAAGCTACATAGTGAGACCTTGTTTTAGGAGAAAAAAAAAAGGAAGGTATGGTGGCTCATTCCTGTAATCCCACATCCCAAGGGAGGTAGAGGCAGAAGGACTGAGTTTGAGGCCAGCTGGGCAAAGTTACTGAGACCCTGTCTCAAAACAAAAAAATATAAACAAAAAGGCTGGGGACATAGCTTATGTAGTAGAGTGCTTGCCTAGCTTGTTCAAGCCCAGTACCCTTCCTTCAAGAAGGAGGGAGACAGGGAGGGAGGGAGAGAAAGGAAGGAAAGTGACAGAGGAGAGAGGGGACCCAGGCTACGGAAGGTCTCCACTGAGGTGCAGAGCTGGAACTAAAAACCAGAGAATGCATCTCCAGGAAGAGGAGGAGGGGCTGAGGGGGGCTGCTTGCTGCAGAACCCAGGGTCTGTTTACTGTGGGGTCTGCACTCTACCCAGGGTGGCACACAAGAGAAGCCGGCCACCAACCCTTTCCCCTTCAACCCTGCTTCTTCCTCTGCCCAGCTTTTGTCATCAACTGACCCTTTACCCATGGCTTTTCCAGGGGAAGGTCACCTCCAGGTTGACAAGGACTCCATGTGTTTTCACTGCTGGTCACCATTACCAGATCCATCTCTGGCACACCGCAGACACACGGTAAGTGTTATTATGGGAAGTGAGAATGGAAGATGAGAGAGAGAGAGAGAGAGAGAGAGAGAGAGAGAGAGAGAGACTCAGTACAGGGCAAATTGTGGGTTGCTTTGTATGGGAACCAAAGACATAGTGACACTTTGGCTGTCCCTTTCTGCTCACCCTATTTTTTTTTTTTGATACTGGGGTTTGAACTCAGGGCCTTATACTTAATAGGCAGGCGCTCTACCACTTGAGCCACACCCCAGCCCTTTTTGCTTTAGCTCTTTTTCAGGTAGAGTCATGTTTTTCCTCCAGGGACAGCCCGGACTGTGATCCTCCTATCGACATCTCCTACAGTGCTGATATGACTGATGCACACCACCATGCATGGCTAAGTCATTGAGATGGGGTCTTGCTAGCTTTTTGCACAGGCTGGCCTCAAACCATGATCCTCCTGATCTCTGCCTCCCAAGTAGCTGTGATTACAGATGTGAACCACTGAGTCTGGCTCGTTAAGCATTTTTGCTTTAGTAATAGTGTGCAAGGTGTTTGATCTACCAGGTAGCAAAACATTTAATGGAGCTACCATAATTAAACTAGTGTGGCATGTACAGAAAACCACAGACAAATGAAGAATATGGGAGGGGGGTGTGAAGACAGAGAGCTTGACTGTCAGTCACTGTGTTTATCAGAGGCCTGGGTCAGTGCCTGGCACACAGTAGGTGACCACTAAATGTTAATGGTATTATGAATGCAGGAGAACAGCTATTTACCAGGTAACAAAACTGTGTTCATTAAAAAACAGCACAGAATCAGGTGTGGTGGGGCATGCCTATAATCCCAGCACTCAGGAGTCTGACACAGGAAGATCATGAGTTCCTGGCCAGCCTGGGTTGCATACAAGACCAGCATGGTTTTGAACCAGAGCTATGGATAACTAACGACTAATTGTGAACAATCTGAGGTAAGTGATTTTACCTGTGGTAAGACATAATCTAGAACTAGGTGCTCAGTACATTTTTTTATTTTACGTCTTATAATACCCAATCAGGTAATAAAACATACACTGAAGCTCTAATAGCTAAAACTGGGAAACATGAAGCAATGGACAATACTGGACACAGTATGAGTACCTTAACTAGCTTCAAATTGGGTACGGAGTGGGTCTGTATAAATGTTTTTATTATGAATCTGTGTGTGGAAGGGAGCATTTATCATTCCAGGTAGTGAGGCACACATAAAACTGTAATGATCAAAACAGCATAGTAACAGGGTGTGGTGGTCCCCATCTGTAATCCCAGCTACTCAGGAAACAGTAGCAGGAAGATCCCAGGACAGCCTGGGTAAAGTGAGAACCTAGCTTAAAAATAAGTAAATAAATAAATAAATAAATAAACCAAAGCTGGGCTGTGCTGGCTCACACCTGTAATCCTAGCTACTCAGGAGGCAGAGATCAGGAGGATTGCAGTGCAAAGTCAGCCAGGGCAAATGGTTCATGAGACCCTATCTTGGGGAAAAAAAACCCACAAAAGAAGGGCTGGTGGAGTGGGAGTGACTCAAGGTGTAGGCTGAGTTCAAGCCCCGGTACTGCAAAAAAAAAAAAAAAAAAAGGAAAAAGAAAGACTGGGGACCTAGGTAGTTAGTGAGGTGCTAGGTAGTTAGGTGAGTGTTAGGTAGTGAGGTGCTGGTTCCATGCTCAGTACTGACAAAGCAAACAAACATGAATGAGTGAATGAGTGAACCAATGGGTAATGAATGAATGGGTGAGTGCAAAAAAAGTGACCAAGTCATGAATGAGTGAATGAATGAATGAATGACCAAATGAATGGGGGTGGAATGCGTGAATGAATGAGTGGATGAATGACTGAACAAATGAGTACGTGAATGAATGAATGAGGGAATGAATGAGAGCAAGTGAGTGAATGACAAATGAATATGTGAATGAACGAACGAGTGGATGAATGAGTGAGTGAATGAATGAATGAATGAATGAGTGCGTGAACAAGTTATGAATGAGTGATTGGCTAGAGTAAGTGAGCGAATGAGTGACCGAATGAGAGCGTGAATGAATGAATGAAAGGACAAGTGAGTGGCTTCACAAATGAGAGAGTGAAAGGCGGAATGAACGAATGGATAAACGAATGAATGTGCGAGCGACTGGACAGGTGAATGGGTGAGGGAGCGGGCCGTCCGTCCGTCCGGGTCCCCGTGTCCGTCCCCACCTGTACTCGTAGTCGGAGCCGGCCTTGGCCGAGCCGTCCTCGGTGCGGTAGTCCACGTAGAAGGTGCTGTTGCCCTCGCCGCCCTGGCAGGTGACGGACAGCAGCACGGAGCCGCAGTTCTCCAGGCAGTGGTACAGGCTGGGCTCGAAGAAGATGCGGCTGGCGCCGTCGTCCTCGTCGTCGCCCGCGCCGTCGGCCGGGGCGGCCCTGCGGGACGCGTCGGCCGCGTGTCGCCGCAGCACGTTGCCCGCGCCGGTCATGAGGCGCGTGGCCTGGATGCGGTAGAAGGCGCGGCTCTTCTGCTGGTGCAGCAGCGCGTAGTAGTTGGCGATGCCCACCAGCTGCTCCAGGTCCTTGTCGGGGTGCTTCTGCTTGAGGTCCTTGAGGATCTGGATGACCTCGCGCCGGCTGGCGTCCAGCTCGCGCGCCTCGGCGGGGCCCGGGCCCAGGCCGCCCAGCTCGCCCGCCTCGGCGCCCACGAACGTGCCGTCCAGCTCGATGCTCTTGGGCGGGTCGCCCTCCGCGCCGATGATGATGCCGCTGCGCGGGTCGGTGCGGTAGCGCTTGTACACGTACTTGTAGAAGAGCAGCCGCTTGTCGGCCATCCAGGCGAACACCACGCACACCGGGAAGAACACCAGGGTCAGCAGCGCCTCCCACACCTGCGGCCGGGCGGAGGGCCGTCAGCACCCAGCGCCGGGGCCGCCGCGCCGGCAGGGGGCGCTCGGACCCGCGCCAGCCCCATTCACCGGCCCTCCCGGCTCGCTCCCTCCGTCTCCACCTGCCCGCCCCCCTCCTCTGATCATCCCTGTCTCCCTCCCTCCACCCCTCCGCCCGCCCATTCATCCCACCCACCCACCTATCCATCAGCCCACCCGCCCTCCCACCCTTCAATCCATCCACCCCACCCAACCATCCATCCATTCCACCCACTCATCCATCCGTCCATTCCACCCACTCCTCCATCCGTCCATTCCACTTATCCAACTACCCATCCATCCACCCAACCCATTCAGCCTCCACTCACCCGTCCACCCATCCATTTCTCTCCTTTCCCCCTACTCTCCCCATCTTTTTATCCCTTTTTGTCTCTGATCATCTCTGCCTCTCTCCATCCATCCATCCATCCATCCATCCACTCATCCATCTGTCCACCTTTCCCTTCTTCCCCATCTCTTCCAATCCATCTCTCTCCATCTCTGTGTCTCCGCCTCTCCCCGTCATGCTTGTGTGCCTCAGATGATGGTTTCAATCTCTCCTGCTTCTCTCTCTCCTTTCTCCCTGCCTCTCTTCCTTGTTGCTCGCTCTCCTTATCTTCATGTCCTTTTTAAAAAATCTTTTTGTAGACACTCATCGCTCTTCCTTTTAAGTCCTCAAAGTTTTCCTTTCTCTGTCCTCTCAATGTCTGTATCTCTCCAGAGAGCCCCGTGTGTGTGTGTGTGTGTTAGTATGTGTGTGTATCCTTTACCTGCCTCCTCACTTATCCATCTACCTTTTATACACTGAGAACTACATCTAGCTGCTCACATGCTAGACAGACATTCTTAGCCACCACCAAGTGACAGATGTCCCTGCTCTGACAGATGTCCCAGCACTTGTGAATAAGAGCCTGCATCTCTTCCTGCCCTTCTCTCCTCCATCGCTTTTGGTTTTTGTTTTTGATTTTTCAAGACAAAGTCTTGCTTTGTTGCTGAGCCTGGCGTGGAACTCAAGATCCTCCTGCCTCAGCCTCCAGAGTGTTGGGATTATAGGCATGCTCCACCACACTGGGCTTCCCCCTCAACTGTGATGCCTGTAAAAACCCATCCTCAGATCTGCTCTCTGCTTACCAAAATTGCCTCAATCCCTGCCACCCCAGCACCACAGAACTGACTGTAAAAGAGGCATAAGTTTGGTTCATCACCACGCAGTCTCCTCTGATGAACTCCCATGTAGAGAGGGCGCAGCTCTGAGCTGAGAGTGTGCTTTGAAAACAGCACTGTGTGTCCCAGTCTTTTGGTCTGCAAAGTTGGAACATCTTGCCAGGTGTGATGGTGCATGCCTATCATCCCAGCTACTCAGGGGGAGGAGGGAGGAGAATCACAGTCCCAAGTAGACCCAAGCAAAAGCTTAAGAGCCTATCTGAAAATGAACCAAGCAAAAAAGGTCTGGGAGCATGGCTCAAGTGGTAGAGCACCTGCCTAGCAAGTTTGAGGCCCTGAGTTAAAAACTCTGTCAAATTAAAAAACAAACAAACAAACAAACTAAGACATTTCCAAGGCGGAATGAGCACATGTACCCTTAGCACTTAGCTCCTAGCCCATGGGGAACCCTGAAGAAATAAAAAGAGCACTGTCATTATTGTTGTCACTATTCTGATTATGTTGGAATTGCTGAGAACAGGAACCTTCCACCAAGGTCTGCCTGGAAGATACCCATGTAAAGACCCGGATGTTGCCTTTCTTATTAAAGACAAAGAAGAAAAAACAGAAGATGGCCCCAGGAAGTCCTTACAAATAAGTGTCTAATAGGGAAAGAATTTTGTTTCTTGTTTTCTTTTTGGCAGCACTGGGATTTGAATTCAAAGCATCACGTTTGCTAGGCAGGCACTCTTACCACTTGAGCCACTTTGCCAACTGGGGAAAGAGTTTTTAAGACCCAGTGGCCACATCCTGTTGTCACTGTGTTTATTGGTGACTGAGAAAAGGCAGGACATGGAAATAGTGAAACAGCACAAAGTCACCCGCCATGGGCGCATTTGTGAAACGGAGGCGTAGTTTTTAGCACCAACTGTGAGAACACTCTTCACTTTTATTAACTGAAGTCACTGCTATGTATATTCCTGGGAATTCTCCATTAAGCAGAACAGAATCTCAACCTCTAAGACTTAATTTCCTGAGTCAGGCAAGGTGGCTCACGCCACCTACTACTCAGGAGGTGGAGGTAGGAGGATCTTGAGTTTGAGGCCAGCCAGGGCAAAGTTAGTAAGACCCTGTCTCAAACTACAAGCAAAAGGCCTGAAGGCTGGGGTGGCTCAGTGGTAGCGCGCTTGCCTAGCATGTGTGAAGTCCTGGGTTCCAGAGATTCCTGAGACACAGGATCTTGTCCCACTGGACACTCGTGTCTGTGACAGCCTGCGCATAACAGCTGGAGTTTTGTGTATATTTGAAGGATTTTCCTGTATGGTTTCACAGACATGAAATACACTCATTTTGAATCTCGTGGTTCCCAGCTTCTCTGCCTCTCCTTCTTGCATGGAACCATTCCTGATCAGTCTCATTCTCTCTGTCTCTCTGTCCCTCTGTCTCTGTAGTTTGAACTCAGGGCCTCACTCTTGCTAGGCAGGTGCTTTACCACTTGAGCCACACTTCCCAGCCCTTTTTTTGCTTCAGTTATTTTTTAGATAAGGGCTCCAGGTTTTACCCAGGGCTGGCTACAGGCTATGATCTTCCTACCACTGTTTCCCATGTAGCTGGGATTACAGGGGTGCACCACCATACCTCACCCCATTTTCTTTTTCTTAAATCCAGTTACTCATTACAAGTAAGGACCCAAATCAGGCTACCCTGTCACAAGGACAGAGGAGCTGAAGTATACACATGTGGAATCTTTCCTTTTCATCAGCACTGAGATGATCCCATTTTATAGGTGGGAAAAGTGAGGCCTAGAAAAGGCAAGAAACTTGCCCAAGGTCACGAAGCCAGGGAGTGGCAGAGATGGGATCTGACCCCAGGACTCTGTCTTCAGGATCCATGAAGCAAATTCTCACATCCATAACAACACATATTCTGAAAAGGGGGTATGTAGAATATGGAGAACCCCTGGTGTAGTCCAACCATCTTCATGATTCAGACATGACAACAGAGGCCCAGAGAGGGTCTAGGCTTTGTCTGAGATCACACAGCAATGTTGAAGGACATCCAGAGGTCAACCAGTCTTTCTAGGAGGAATTGGCAACACTCACTTCATGTCACTTTTCTAATGAAAACATCCCATAATCCAGGTCTCTGGTATTTCTGGAGAGACACCTCTTGACTACTTGTCTACTCAGTGGTGGGGATCCCCCACCCTTCCTCTGTCCCCTAGGTCTCAGACTGCTCCTTTTAATAGCATCTGAAAACCATATAATGCCTCATTTTGCACTTTTCACCATGGCAGCCAGGAAGCTCAGCGTTCCAGTCACAGCTCAACTGTGTAACTTTCTTGCCCTCTCACCCGTCTGCTGGAGCCACTGTCCCCTCTCCTTCCCTCGCTGTTAGTTCCTACCCACTCAGTTCTGCCTCACACATCATCCCTGAAGCATTTTTCTATATCTAGCTTTTGGGTCTTTCTGGGAAGAAAGTAGTAACTGGCCAAACCTGACAGTCTTGACAGATCACACACAAGTGTGAATGAATCCTGGATACCCGAAAATAAATTATGCATGTGTGTGAGTGAATTAGGTTGGACCCATAAATAAATTATGCAAATGGAGGTGTCGAATGCCAGACAAGTGAGAGTCAAATAATTGGGGAGACAGGGGTAGGTGTAAATTATGCAGTTGTGGTCAAAATTTTGTCTCACTGTTGGAATAAATTATGCAAAGTGGACGCTGGGTTTATATTTCTGTTGGATTGGATGGGAGTATAAATGACACTGGCGAGGCATAAATTATCACGACATCAGAAACTGATGATGAATAATGAATGAATTAACCAAACCGCAGTTGCCTAACTGGCAAATGCGGGGCTAATTTATGCAGATGTGGGCGTGTCTCTATTTGTGCCTGTGGATATATTATGTAAATTGCACCGAGTTGTCCGAACCAATTAGCACTGTCAGAAAACACAAAGCTAGTTTATGCAAATGGGATATGAGTATGCAAATATAATGTGGATATTCAAATGAAGGATGTCTTCAGGCAAAGACAGGATTAAATTATGCAAAAGGCATGGAGTCTAGGCAAATACCTAAACTACCTGAACTACCTGCAGGGCCACAGGGCCCTCTCAGCACAAATAATGCCCTGGGGAAGTGTTGTTTTTCTTTTCTTTTTTTTTTTTTTTTTGTGGTACTGGGGTTTGAATTCAGGCTTGCTAGGCAGGTGCTCTAACACTTGAGCCACTCCGCCAGCCCTTTTTTAGTTGGGTATTTTTTGAGCTAGGGTCTCATGGAATTATTTGTCTGAGGCTGGCTTCGAACCGCAGTCCTCCTGGTCTCTGCCTCCTGAGTAGCTAGGATTACAGGTGTGAGGCACCGGTGCTCGGTTTTTTTTTTTTGTTTTGTTTTTTTTGGTTAGTTCTGCAGTTAGAACTCACAGCCTTGCTAGGCAGGCGCTCTACCACTCGAGCCACGCCCCCACCCCCTTTTCGCAGTAGTTATTTTTCAGGTAGGATCTTGTTTTTGTCTGAGACCCACCTCAGACCTTCATCCTCCCATACCTCTGCCTCCCAAGTAGCTGGGATAACAGGTGTGAGCCACTGTGCCCAGCCTTTGAGAGGGAATGGGTACCCTTCTGGATGAGTACAGTGCAAAGCAGAGCTCCCCCACTGCCACCCTGCAGCTGAGCGCTTACAGAACCCGCTGAGACTCCAGCCCTGCCGAGCCCTCTTTGGCTCAATCCCCTTGTGCACCACCATCCCTCGCAGCCCTCTCAGACCCGAACGTGCACGTCTGCAAATATGCAAATCGCTCCAAGCCCGGGCCACCCGCTTGGGATTTCGCAGACAGACAAGCACTCAGAGGGCATCCGAGAGTCCTTGCTCACCTGGACCACACCCGGGGAGAAGACAGCAAGGATGAGATAAAGCCAGACGTAGGCAAAGATACTCCAGGAGGCGGTGACGAAGAAGACCCTCAGGTGTTTGATCTTGCGGCTCTCGCCAGCCGGGATGACATAGACACACACAGCGATGACCACAAACATGTTGAAAGCAGCGCTGCCCACGATGGTGCCCGGGCCCAGCTCTCCCGCCTGGAAGTTGTGGCCACAGACTTCGATGACAGACAGCAGGATCTCGGGAGCAGATGAGCCCAGAGCCATGAGCGTGAGGTTTGACACTGTCTCGTTCCAGATCCGCACGGTGCCCACGCTGGTCTCCCCGTTGGCCTTGGTGATGGTGATCTCCTTCTCCTTGGATGTGATGACCTCGATGGACGCCATGAAGCGGTCGGCGATGATGGACACTCCCAGGAACATGTAGACCATGGCCACGAAGTAGACCACGGCCCGGGCTGCCTTGTCCCCCAGTGACGGGTCGTCAGGCTCCCACACGGGCAGCAGCACCCCCGGCTGGCAGCGGTAGGAGCCCTGGCAGCCCCCCAGGGTGGCTTCACTGTCATTGGCCAGGGGAGGTGGCAGGGAGGGTGTTGGGGTGGCTGCCCCCGAGCATAGGGGAGCTCCCAGGAGGAGCGCAACCCCCACCAAGGCCAAAGGAGCCATGGGGGGCGGTGGGGTCCTGGGAGGAAGAGGAAGAGGTCAGGGGGTAGGGATCAGACCCCACCTGGTTACATAAATGCCACAGCTTGTTGGGCCCCAGGGGGCTGAGGAGGCACAGAGAGACACAGAGAATGCCAGACAGACTCAGAGAAAAAAGACACAGAAAGGTAAAGGACAGTTGGAAGGTGGAGACAGGAGATTGCAAGTTTAAAATCAGCCTGGAATACATAACAAGACCCTATTTCAAACAAACAAATCAACAAAGAAGGCAAACAGGGTGGAGGGACTCTTATGCAATGCTGGTGGGAAGGTAAATTAGTCCAAGCACTTTGGGAACCTCTAGCCAACCATCCTGCACTCTATGATCCAGCAATTCCGCTCCTTGGAACTGACCGAGGAAACATAGGTTCACCTCTCCACCAAAAGGCACCTATGACAACATTCACAGCACCACTCTTGAAACACCCCAGCAGCTGGTTAGCAGTGAGATACAGAATGGCAGTGGAACATTATACAGCCCTGAGCAGGGCTGAAACTAAGACTGTGGGCAATGACTCTGAGGAATCCCCCAGACGAGACAAGAGATGAATGAAGTCAGGCACCAAGAACACTGTATACTCCAGTGTAAGGCTGGGAGCCAGCAGCCTGAAATTCCCTCGGTGATTCTAATGGTTCTCAACATGGCCCTCAGAGGCTCCTGTGTGACATTTTGGGATGTGGTAAGTGCTAAGGATCTGTCTGTCTAAGGGACAGGCTGCTGGAGGTCGCCATCACGGCCTCTTTGCAATGGTAGCAGGTGTCTCTTTGGCATTCCTGGCATTGTCAGACCCCCAGCCCCCGCACCTCTTTCTGCGGTTTGTGCCCCAGGGCCTTCACACCTGCTATTCCCCTTTCCTGTGACACTCCTCCCTGTTTATCCACTTACCTCCCACCCTCTCCTCCTCTAGGTGTCCATTCTGAAGTCACTTTCTCTGATCACTCTGTCCAAAAATGACACCATCCATTTCACAAACAAGAGGACTGAGGCTCAGAGAGGTTAAATAACTCGCCCAAAGCCACCTAGCACTAACTGTGGCTCCCAGCCTCTTCCTCCATCAGGGACCTCAAGCCTGGAGCTCCTTTGGCCCCACCCTCATGTTGCCATGGCAACCCAGTTGTCTATTTAAAAAAAAAAAAAAGAGACGGGTGGCAAGGCAGGAAGATGAAGCTGAGGCTTCATCTGAGCCTGCTGCCCTCTCAGACAATCTCCTGGCTGGGCAGCCAGCCTCAAGGCTTTGGCAACTTCCATTTCTGTCTGAAAAGTTCCTCTGGGAGTCTAATCCACAGCCTGCCCCCAATTCACACCCACATGTGAGAGTCGGCTCCTGGGGGAGGGAGGCAGAAAGTTGGCAGAACTTGTGTGAGCGTGTGCGTGTGTGTGCGTGTGTAGGCGGGGGCAGGGGCAGGGGTGATTCTTAAAGGGCTACTACACAATTACCCCCCTTGGCAAGGCCCCTAATGATATGTCTAATTAGTAACCCCCTAATTAACGACTTAGGCATAATTATGAACCCACCAGGATCCCAAACAAAGACTCTTGCTAACAGCTTCCTCCCTTCTCTTTGGCTTCCAGGAGAGTCAGGGGCCACTTGAGAATTAAGAATTCATCTAATGTAGCTAACTAGATGGAGCTGTGGCCTGGGAAGTCCTCCCTGAGCTCTAGCCACCCAGCCCTCCTGCTGCAGTCCTCAAGGGAGATCCCGGGCAGCCAGCTGGAGTTCTTGTCCTTGCCCTCCCTGTCCATCCTTTTCCCTGCCAGCCTGCTTTCCTCTCTGGGCCTCAAGGAGGAGGGGTCAGGGAGAAAAGTCACTAGACAAATATTTGTGAAATGAATGGTCAGCCCTGTAGCTGGGGGCAGGCGGCTCTCTCTGCTTGAGGCGCCTGCCTCTTCCTCTCTCTTCCACTGGTTGCCCTGAAAGGTAATCTGAGTGTAGATCAAGTTTAGCCTAGGGACGCCTGGAGGGCAGATGGCCACACACTCTCTGGGTCCCAGGGAGGTGTCGCATCTCTGGGTCATCTCTCCCCAGCCTTGTGGGCTCACAGCCAGCGGGTCAGTAGTGAGTGGCCCTATTCTGCCTCCCATGCTTCTGGGGGCAACTGCAGGCTTAAGGGGTGGGTCCCCAAGCTGCAAAGCCAGAGTGTGCATGGTCCTGAGGTGAGCCCTGAGTGTGCTTGTGGTGGTGGTGGGGGGGCAGTGGTCCCACTGACTCTAGAGGGGCAAGTCTGGATTACCCAGACTTCCAAGCGCACACACTTACTCCCCGGGAGGGCAGGGGGTTTCCCACCAGGCTTTCCCACTATCATGCCTGGGAATCCCACACAGGGCTTCAGTGTTTGGGGCTTGGACAAGTCACACAGCTTGAAGTCAGGCACAGAGCAGAGATGGGAAGTGAAGGCGTGGGACTGCTGACCCAATGATCTTTTAAGCCATATGGAGTCCCTACGCGGCACTGTCACATGGGGCGGAACCTCGTCCCTGGCCAGGGAGGTGATGGACACACACACAGTCCCATCCCAGCTTTGCCACAGGCACACATTCACACCTCCCCATCATTCTCACCCATCTTCTCCAGGGCTCTTCCCCAAGGATGGGGGAAGATGCCTGGCCAGGGGTCTGGACTAGGGACCCCCAGGAGGTGAAGGTTTGCCGTCTATCTCCACTAAGAGACAGGAGTGAGGCTGGCATGCCATGAGAGAGGTGCAGGTGAGACTGGAGGAAGCACTGGCCTGGCCTCACCCAGCCCCCAGTGCTGTGCCTGGAGTAGGGAAGTCGCAATGTAGTTGTCAAAAGAATGAATGAGTCAAGAACCCACACACAGCAAGAGGTTCAGAAGTTAGACTGCAGGAAGGACTGGCCCGATCGCTACTACAAAGGTTACAGGTTAGACAGTAAGCAGGACCAGCTTCAGAGCACCAGCCACAAGGCAGGGGAGGGGCTCTATTTTGGGGGGGCGAGCGATGGGGCGGCTCCCCACTGGGAGGATGGGGAGAGAGAAGTCTGCGGGGAATCCAGGCCGTCTGGGGGAGCCCACTCTGCGGGGGATCATCTTCCTCCAGGTCTCCCTCTGCCAGGGGCGGAGACAAAGGTGTGTAGGAGGGAGTTCACTGGCTCCCAGGAAGAGGGAGAGAAGAGGAAGAGACAGAGACTGAGGTGCCCCGAGATAGAGAGACAGAGGCAGAGACAGAGAGACAGGTAGGGAAGAGGAAGCCCCACGCGGAGATGGGAAGGGATGGACACACGGAAAAGACAGACGGTCAGAGACCCGGGAATCAGAGACAGAGATGGCGCACGAGCAAGGCAGTGAGGACCGAAGGACTTGGGGTCCGACAGCCGGGAAGCCACAGGACAGACCCGGGCAGAGACAGACAGAGACACGGAGAGACAGCGAGACAGGAGCGGCAGGCGACTCGGAGGGAGGGACCCCGAGAGACGTGGAGATGGAGACCAGACACAGGAAGGCGGGGGCGGCGGGGCACTGGCGGGCGGCGGTCGGTCCCCTCCCCACGGAGGACGCGGGACCCGCAGCCCTGACCCGGAGCCGATCCCCCACCCGCGCCCCGCTCCCACGCGCCCCACGCGGGGCTCTTACCTGCGCTGCAGTCTGGGGCAGGTCCCCCGCACTGGGCTGGCACAGTGGGCACCTCCGCCCGAGGAGAGGGAGAGAGGGAGAGAGAGGGAGAGAGAAAAGAGAGAGAAAGAGAGAGAGAGAGAGAGAGAGAGAGAAGGAGAGAGGAGAGAGGAGAGAGAAGCCGGAGACTGAGAAGCCAGAGCGAGAGCCGGGGAGGAGGGGAGAAGAGAGAGGGGGAGGGACGCGGGGAGGGGGACCGCGGGAGGAGGAGGGAGGGGGAGAGGCCAGGAGGAGGGCGGAGCTCAAGGAGGGGGCGGGGAGAAGGGAGCGGAGGGCGGGGGGAGGCGCGGGGAGGGGCCTGGGCCCGGGAGGGGCGGGGGAGGAGGCAGCCCCAGCTTCAGACCTGGGCTCCGGGTTCAGCACCAGAGGCCGTGGACAGCGACCCCCGCGCGTGTGCGTGCCTGTGTGCTGAGGCATCTCCCATCCCCCACCCAACACGCACAGGCGGCCTCCCGTCCGTCCATACAAGGGCCCAAAGATTTAGAAACATCTACAAATAGTTCCAGGCTGGCAGGCCTGGGGGGAAGGGCAGGAATGCCTGGCCAGACTCAGTTCCAAATTCATACACTGTGCCCGCTGCGCGCGGAACGGCACAAGCAAGGCCAGAAACAACCACAAAGGCGTCCATTAATAATAATACAACGGCGGCCATTCACATAGCCCTCACCCCGGCCGGCATCGTTAGGACATTGTTTTATTAGGCGCCTGACACATGTTGGCACAACCAATTCATGCCAACCCTGGGAGGCAGATACCATGATTAGCTCCATTTTACAGGTGGAGAAACTGAGGCAATGAGTGGAGAAGTGTGGCTCCAGGTGCTGTCCCCTTAACCACCACACTGCACACTGCTCCAGCCTGAGATACCAGGAGGGGTCTAGGCTCTTGAAGACAAACTTTAGAGCCCTAGAATGCACACACGCATGGACACACATGTGCACATGCATACATGCACACATATACGTGTGCACATACACACGCACACATGCTCACACATACATTCATATACATCACACAGGTGCACATATGCACACCCATGCATCTACATGTGTAATACGCACTCATGCACACACATTGCACTCACACCATCACTACCTTCACATGACCCCACTCCAGGTTCCCCTCCAGCCCAGAACCAGGTATTGCAGACACACCTAGTCTTGAGCACTCAGTCCCAGCAGGCAATGCTCCCGAAAGCGGCCCGTGCCCACGGCCAGTCCTGGCTGGACACCATTGGGCCAGCTGCCAGAAGGAAGAGGATCCAGCTCTCTGCAACTTCCCACGCCTGGGCCTGCCTTCTAGGAGAGGGAGAGAGAGGGGAGGCTCCCATCTCCCCAAAACCCATTCTGAGACCTGCAGGCTGGGTTTTTGTGACCAGTGCATGTGGTCAGATTTGCAGGTGGACTTCCCTGGAAGGAGGCAAACACAGGCAGAATGCCTATGGTGCCTGTACCACCCATGGCACACCCAGGAAGCAGGTGTCCCCCACCCCCTGCCTGGATCCTGCCCAGGAACCTCTCTACAACCCTGCTGCCTGGATTCTATTCCTGGCCTGCAGTGGGGAAGGAAGGGTGAGACTTCTGTCACTCCACCTTCTTCCACTGGGCCCTGAGACAGAGGCCTGATTGCTCCTGATTCTATAAAAGGAACCGCAGGTGGGGAAATCACTCTGGTCTCCCACTCCTCACCCTCTCAGGCTATTCAATTTAGGTCTAACCTTAGTCCTTGCCAGCATGGGATATCCTGGTCCTACCTGCCTGGATCTCGCCTCTGTGATGGGATCTGTACTCCATTACTTTCTGCTGGGGTCTAACCCTAGTAAAAAAATTTTTTTTGAGAAAGGGTCTTGCTATATAGCCCAGGCTGGCCTGGAATTCATGAGTGCTGGGATTACAGGTATGCACCAGTGCACCTGGCTAACCACAGTAATTTTTATTAGGTCCAACTTCAGCATCATTCACAGGGAGTCTAACCTCAGACCCCGTGCTACAATTTAACCACTGTGTTCCCATAGCTGTCTTTTCCACACAGTCTTTCCTCTGAGGCTCATTTCCTTGTCTTTCCACTGGGATCTCACTTCAGATCTAACCTCTGAACTTGGATCTAAAATCAGTTCTCTCTCCAGGGGCCTAAGTTTCAGGGTGCAACCTCAGATTTCTCCACTAGGGTCTAATTCAGTTGTTCCTGCTGGGGTCTGTCTACCTTTGAACCTCTCCATTTGAGTCTGAGCTCTCTCTATTTGGGTCTAACCTCAATTCCCTTGCTGGGATCTAACATCAGTCCGTCCCCGTACATTTTAGTCTACTCCACAGCAGTTGAATCTTCACATTTCTCTTAGGGTCTAACCTCATCTCTTTCCTCTGAGGTCTACACTGGGATCAGACCTCTGTTCTGTTTCTGGATCTAACTATGGAATTCCCCTCTCCCATGCTTCCCTCAATCCTTGTGGATGAATCCACAAAACCTGGCATACAGCAGGTGCTCAAATAAATGCTTGCAGAACAAAACAAGAAGACGATCATGAGTGCTTTGGTACTCTGACTTATAATTGGCAGCTGACCAATATTCCTGGGAGGGGGCAAGTGAGATCACCCCATCTTCAGACAGGGACACTGAGGCACAGGGTATCCCTAGCTGCTAGGGACACAGGGTACATGGCACAAAGCCAGAGCTCACAGCTCTCCTGCTCTGGGAAAGTCTAGGGACAGTGCTGCTCTGATGCCTTGAAGTGAGGCCCCCAAGTGCCCAGGACTGGGAAGAGTGGGTGTGTGGGTGCTCAGGAGGACGGGGTCTCAGCAGTCCTAGAACCCACCCTGTCCTCAAGCCCCTGTGGTTGCTGTCTCCTCTGCTCCACTTGATGCCGAAGCCTGGACAGGACCAGCTCAGAGGCCTGGATCAGACTGTGCTGTAGGAGCAAGAGGAGGAGAACAGGCTGAGACAGAGCTGAGGGTACAGGTTAGACCATAGAGACACAGCTGAGGGACGCAGGTTAGACCATACTGGGAGGTCTAGAGGCGGGCACTCCCAAAGGCCAGGAGCTCAGCAAAGGTGGGCAGGCAGAGGGTAGACCGCAGTGTGTGGGATGGGACTGGGTCTCTGGGGAGGCTAAGGGAAGGCCTGTGTGAATCTCCAGTGTAGACCAAATCTACACCGAAATTAAGGAACCAAGGTTAGAAACCACTGGAAAGGAGAGTGATGGGTCAGAACGAGGGAGGGATTACATTAGAATGAGAGTGAGGTTCAACCACCGGAGAGGGTCTGAGGTTAGACCACAGTCGGGGGGACAAAGGTCAGAGTGGCAAAGAAGAATATACCACAACATGAGGATGTCAGGCCCTGGTCAGAAGGTCTGAAGTTAGACCTTAACTTAACAGGGAGATCACAATGAAATGGTTGAAATAGATCCTAGTGAAGGATGACATGCTAGATCCCAGTGATCTAGCTCAGATCACACTGCTTTCAATTAAGGTCTAACCTGAAACCTCTCACTAGGGTTTAGCCTGTCTTTTGCATTAAGGTCTAACCTCAGACCCTTCTACTGGCTAGTAACACCTCAGTCTTCTCCATTGGGGTCTAACCTCAAGCATTTTCTCTGGGGTCTAACCATTATCTAGACTTTCCTGAGGCCTAGTCTAGACCACTGAACTGAAGATTAGACTGCAAAGAAAGGCCCAAGAAAAGACTCAAGAGAGCATAGCAAAGATGATGCCCCTCAGCAAAGATGATGCCCCTCAGCAAAGATGATGCCCCTTCCGGATGCCAGGGACTCACACCTGTAATCCTAGCTACTCAGGAGGCAGAGATCAGGAGGATCGGGTTTGAAGCCAGCCTGGGGAAATAGTTTGTAAAACCCTATCTTGAAAAAATCCATCTCACCAAAAGGGCTGGTGGAGTGGCTCAAGGTGTAGGCCCTGAGTTCAAGCCCCACTACTGAAAAAACAAACAAGCAAACAAACAAAAAACCCAACAAGATGAGGCTCCAGCAGAAAGAATCAAGTTAGACCCCGAAAGGGATCCTGGCGTCAGAACAGAGGGCAGGAGAAGTCAAACACGATAGGACACAAAGGGACATCACAGCCTCAAGGGTGGTCCATGGGCCATGGTGGGAAGGACAGTAAATTGTGAGAGAGGGTCCAAGGCACCGTGGGAATGGCAGATGCTATTCGGGGATGAATACAGTAGTGCCACTTAGGCCGCTGTGGGCGTGTCAGAGGTCAGACTAGAGCAGAAGCTCTGACCTTAGGAGGAAGTTCAGCAGACAGACTGAAGTGAAGTGCCACAGCAGAGTTGGAAGCTGGGGTGCAGGTGGGAGTGAGTGAGATGTGTCATGGGGGAGAGAGGGTCAGCTGTAGTGAGGAAGGATGACCCCTCACCTGACAGGTGACCATGGGGGGCAGGTCCAAGGCTAGGCCAGAGTGAAGGGTCAGAGTAGACAAAGCAGGAAAAAGACAGAATGTGCTAACGGCCTCCTGGAGGCTGATAGGGGGTTGGGGAGAGGGAGATGGCGGTAAAAGGACAGTTTCTAAATCCCCTTCAGGATGGTGCCTGCCCCAGGTGTCCTTCCAGAACCAGCTCATTCCTCTCCCTGCTGCCATGGGACCAGGCTGACGTTCCAGCCCCTCTACCCACCTCCCAGTTTGCCTCCCTCACTCCCTTCCATGGCCTGCATCAAACAGGCCCTGGTTGGGGTCACAGGCAGGTTAGGGCCATGGACCAGGGGCCCTGGTTACCTGCAGGATGTGCACCCCCTTCAGGGAGACCACAGCCAGCTCCTGCAGCCCGTCCCCGGTCAGGTCCACGTGGGCCATGGCCAGAAGGGGGCTCGAGAAACTCCGTCGCCACAGCAGACAGAACCCACGCTCAGCTCCCAGGAGCCCCGACTCCGGGTCACAGTACTTATAGCACAGCAGCTCCTGGGGGGACCAGGGGTCAAGGTCACATGGGCAGATAAGGGAGGGTGGCACAGGGACACAGGTGGTGGTGGTGTTTTCATCCCTCACATCCCACCTGTCCATAGGTGGCCACCAGGACTTCTGGCTGTCCATCCAAATCCACATCGGTGACCAGACCACAGAGAACACTGTCAAACTGGTCACTCCCAGGCAGGAGAAGCTGGTCATCGAGGCCCTGGTTCAGCAGGTCCCTGAGAGTCCCCAGTGCAGTGAGGAAGGGAAGGTCAGCCCACAGTGCCCACCACCACCACTACCCTTCACAGCAGGTCCTGACAGGATGTCTGTCCTGCTTCTCTCCTCGAGTCCACATGTCTCATTTCTCCTGATTCCTGAACCACCTCGTCTGCAACATGGACTCAGAGTCCCAGCAAGGACCCAGCCTGGGCACCCAAACTGTTCTTTCAGGGTGTTGGGTTACCCCCCAGTCCCTAATCCGGATGCCCATAATGCCTCCTGGAGGCTGGACCATCTCACTCCCAAATGGACACCACATTGCTCTGTCTGGGGGTTCAGACACCCATGTCCCCAGTCTGAACACCCACATTGCCCTGGCTCAAGCACCTTGCTGCTTCATGCTGGTATCTTGTCATCTGCCCCCTAGGAGTATTTATGCCCTATGAGAATTGGCAGGTGCTTCAGTCTGGCCCTTCCCCACACAGATCCTCCGCCTCTGCAGCAGGTGTCCCTTCCCCACAGCAAGGCCTCCTCTGAGATTCAGACTTAAATACCACAGCCTCCTCTGTGGTCTCAAGCATCTTTATCTGCCTAGCCCTGACCAACCTCACCCAAAGGGACCTTCTGCCAAGAAATGACAAGGTCAGACCACGGTGCACAGGAACATCCATGTGCCCCAGGTCCCCTCACCGGTACACCACTGCTGGCTCCAACATGCTGGCCACGAGTAGACTGTACTCTTCTCCCTGGGGCCTGTTTTTGGTTTCTGCAGGAGAGACAGGAATGAGGAGAGGGGTCCTCGGGGACAGATTCCAGGATCCTCTTTGTGCCCCTCCCCACTTCAGTCAGAGGAACACAGGCTAGATCCCAGGAAAAAGACTTGCGGTTGGTGTGCTGCACAGGGAGGGTTAGAGGCTGGACCACAAGAGAAACAACTGAGATCAGATTCCAGAAGGAGAAACAAGTGTTAGATTTTAGTTTTGAAAGTTTGAGGTTAGACCATAGTAGGGAAGAGACAAAGGTTAGACCATAGTTGAAAAGTCTGTTAGGCCACAGTGGGAAGGTCAGAGAATAAGAGTAAAGACCATGCCAGGCACCAGTGGCTCACGCCTATAATCCTAGCTATTCAGGAGGCAGAGATCAGGAAAATCATGATTTGAAGTAAACCCTGGGCAAAGAGTTCAGGAGACCCATCACAAAAAAGGGCTGGTGGAGTGACTCAAGGTGCAGGCCTGGGTTCAAGCCCCAGTACTTGGGAGGAAGTTGCCCATGGTAGCTCAAGGCCTGGAGAGGATCAGGGCTGGACACTTCCGGAGGTGGCAGGCTTAGGTGGTGGTGGGGGAGCTGAGCCTGCACAGGTGCCCCCCGCCGCCCTGTGCCCAGAGCTCACCCTCCCCGGGGATGGCCAGGCTGAACAGGATCACGCGGGAGATGGGGCCATCCTGCAGAATCGTCCACGTCTGCAAGACCTCTGTGTGGAGAGGGGGACTCAGGTCAGGCCCCTTCCCCCAGCTCCTGGCCCCGGCCCCTAGGCCCGGCCCTCACCTCGACTCTGCTGGTCCACGTGGGCGACACGGACGTAACCACTCTGACAGCCAAGAGCCGAGAGGCGCCGGGATGTGCCAGGGAGGTTGTGGACGTCAAGCCAGAGGACGCTGGTGAGTGGGTGGGTTGGGGGCATGGACAGATGCACAGGAAGGGGGGCAGCACTGTGTCCCAGCCTCACCTCTGCCTCCCCAGGGGCGTCTGGCCCTTCCCTACAGCCTGGGATCTCACAGTTTCCTTCCTTCCTCCCTCCCTCCCTCTCTTTTTTTTTCAGTGCTGGGGATTGAACCCAGGGCTTCACACTTGCTAGGCAGGTGCCTACCACTTGAGCCACTCCACCATTCCATTTGCTATTTGTTTTTGAGACAGGGTTTCGCTAACTTTGTCTGGGATAGCCTCAAATTCAAGATTCTCCTGAGTAGCTGGGATTATAAGTGTGAACCACCATGCCTGGCTCAGCAGCCTAATTTCTGAGACAGGCCCCACTGCCCAACTTCTCTAGAGTCCAGTCCCCACAACCTGCTTACTGAGTTTTCTCTGGGGTCCCCACTGGTGACAATTTTCCTAAAGTCATGTGGAGGCCTGAGTTTTCTGGGCTTGTCCATGCTGCCTGATTTCTCTAAGGCCATTTCTTAACCCCTGCTATCCTGGAGGTTGGTCCTGCTACCTAACTTCTCTGAGATTGTAGCCCCAGGCCCCACAGGCCACCTCTGGGGCCTTTCCTACCTACTGGTCAGATTCGTGAGCTCTGGGAAGAGGTTTTCCACGGGCTGTTCCTCAAACTGATGGAGCCCCTCGTTCTGGGGGAACAAGACCTGAGGTTAACTGCCAGACTCATCCACACAGTCCAGTGCCAGGCATGGCGACCCCAAAGGGCTCTGCCCTGCCCATCCGTCTGCCTCACCTCCTTGTACAGATGAATGGCCGGATCATTCCCACTCAGGAGAAACACGGTCTCCAGCTGATCCCCGACCTGGACCCTGAAGGCAGAGAAACCTAGAATGTGGTGGAGCCTGAGCAAGGTGAGTCCCTGTGTTTTGTAACTTCCTCTTGCAAAAAGTCTTTCCTATAAGGCCAGATGTAGTGGTGATGCCTGTAATCCCAGGTGGAGGAAGGACAATTGTGGTCCAAAGCTGGACCCAGGCAAAAGTGGAAGACCCTCCCTGAAAAAGCAAAAAGGGCTGTGGGCCTGGCTCAAGTGGTAGGGCACTTGCTTTGCAAGCATGAAGGCCTGAGTTCAAACCCCAGTCCCACTCCCCGCCAACACACAAAAATCCCTTCCTCTAAGAAGCCTGACATTCTGAGACTCAAACACAAGTACCCAGCTTAGTACTGGCCTCCTTGAAATGCAGACTTTGTAAAACTGAGTCCTCACAGCCTCAACTCTGTTGAGAGTCTGAATGCTGGAAACTCCCTGCCACCAACCCTGTTCCCAGAGCCCTTATCTACTACAATCCAGCAAGCACAAGATTCAGAGTTCAAGACCCAGTTTCTCCAATAACAAACACACAAAAGTCCTCACTGTGGCCAGGCGCCAGTGGCTCACGCCTGTAATCCTAGCTACTCAGGAGGCAGAGATCAGGAGGATCAAGGTTCAAAGCCAGCCTGGGCAAATAGCTCACAAGACCCTGTCTCGAAAAAACTCATCACAAAAAGGGCTGGTGGAGTGGCTCAAGGTGAAGACCATGAGTTCAAACCCCAGTACCACAAAAAAACAAAAAACAAAAAACAAAAACCTCACTATGGACCTGAATTCAGGAATGCAACACTGGGACCTCTTTAATCTAGAATGCCAGAACTTCTGTCTCCTTTGAATGACTAGAAATTTTAGAAATTGCCATCCTGAATCTCCACATGTACAGACTGGCAGAACACACCTCTGTATTTAGAATAGGAGTGCACTAGAGTGCACAAGAATCTTCTGTACTCAGCCGGGTATGGTGGTCCACACCTGTAATCCCAGCACTCGAGCTCCAGTCCAGCCTGGGCTAAACATCGAGATCTTGTCTCCAAAACAAAAACTTCACTTGCAGAACTCTCACCTGCTAGACCAGAGGCTGGCAAACTAGGATCTGCAGACCAACTCAGCCCAATGCCTGTGAGTGTAAACAAAATGTAGTACTGGGGTTTGAACTCAGGGCCTTAAGTTTGCTAAACAGGTACTCTACCAGTTGAGCCACACCACTAGCGTTTTTTGCTTTAGTTACTTTTTTGGATAGGGTCTCACATTTTTGCCGTGGCAAGCCTCAGGCTGCAATCCGTCTGCCTACACATTCTGCATAGCTGGCATCACAAGTGTGCCCACGATGGCCAGCTTGTTGATTGAGATGGGGTCTCACTAACTTTTTGCCTGGGTTGGCCTCCCAACTGCAGTCCTCTAGATCTTTGCCTCCTGAGTAGCTCGGATTGTAAATAAAGTTTTGTTGGAACACAGTCCTCCCCACTCATTCACAGTGTCAAAGGCTGCTTTCTTGCAACAATGGCAGAGTTAAGCCTAATAGTTACGAAGAGGGCCTTTACAGAAAAAGTTTGCCAGCTCCAGTGTTAGGTCATCACTGTTCTGTCAGCCTTCGCGTGGAGCACACATGCTTTGGGAGTCTAGAACTTTGAATTGTAGATGGTCTGTGTTCTGTCTCCAGGTTACATGAGAATGTTAGGCCCTTGCATGGAATATAAGATGCAGGTCTCCATAGAACTGTAGAACTTCCAAATCTGGGAGTCTTAGGTGTCACAACTCTGGAAAACTTAGCATGTCTGGATCTGGGAATGCCAGAATCTAGAACTTCAGAACCCGTGAATTCTAGATGTGTAGAACACAAGTGTTCAATGAACTCTTTTTTTTTTTTTGGTGGGACTAGGGTTTGAACTCAGGGGCTTCACATTTGCAAAGCAGGTGCTTTATTGTTTGGAGTCATGCTTCAAGTCCATTTTTCCCTGTTTATTTTGGAGATGGGGTCTTGAGAACTATTTGCCTGAGCTGGCCTCAGACTGTGAGCCTCCTGATCTCAGCTTCACCAAGTAGCTAGGGTTACAGGCGTGAGCCACCGGCACCCAGATCAATTAACTCTCTTGGATGACCGACTGCAGGGATGACAAGGGGGTGACCTCCCTGGTTATCCAGTATATATTCGCTTTAGAAGTGCAAGGTTTGTTTTGGTTTTTTTTGGTAGCACTGGGTTTGAACCAAGGGCCCCTCACATGCTAGGCAGGGGCTCTACCACTGGAGCTGCTCCATGAGTGAGGCACAAAGTTTTAAAAATCAGCAACAAAAAAAGAAAAAAAATAAATAAAAATCAGCAACAGTGCTTGGTTTGGGGCAGGTGTGTGGCCTCCTGCTTGTTACAGCCCTCCACACTGCTGCATGACCTCTCTAGTCACTAAAGGCATTTGAGTTTTCTTTTTTTTGCAGTACTGGAGTTTGAACTCAGGGCCTACACCTTGAGCCACCCACCAGCCCTTTTTGTGATGAGTTTTTTCAAGGTAAGTTCTCATGATTTGCCTAGACTGGCTTCAAACTGTGATCCTCCTGATCTCTGCCTCCTGAGTAGCTGGGATTACAGGTGTGAGCCACCAGCACCAGGCTTAAGGCATGTGAGTTTTCAATCCACAGTCTAGTACCACCCCTTAATTTTCCCAATGGGGAAAGAGACCCCCCGCGTAAGGAAGGGCAGTGGCAGCCCTGGGTGCCAGGGACACTCACTCTGCGTGGCACAGCTGGAAGGGCGTGAACTGCAGCTCCAGGTTCAGGCAGCTCTCTGCGGGGGGACACAGGCAGGTGGGCACTGGCACCTGCCAGACCCTTCCCACCCTCCTGCCCCAGGCCACACTCACGGGCAATGGAGTCAAGGTTGTACTCTGAGCCGGGCTCGTAGTCGCAGTAAATGTTAAGGAAGGGGCTGCCCTTGTCCCCCGAATCCTAGGGGAGAGACTGTGGTCAGGGGAGGAGGGGACAGGAGGGATCGGGATCGGGATCCACCCCGTGTATAAGGAGGAGGGCGTGGGTAGATGGAGGGTGCTCTGGGTACCTTGATGAACGTGATCCCCACAACCAGGCCCCGCTTAGGGGGCGACTTGTTGAAGGTGTCGATGGAGACAATCTCAGCGTCCACTGGGAGGGGAAAGTTCAAAGTTCGCGTTTCTGGATTCGCGACCCCTGGGACTCCCCCCACCCCTCCCCATCACGGTGACCTAGGACTACTGCAATTATCACCATCACCAGGACCTCTGACTACTGGGTACCAGAATCCTAATGTCTGAAGAATCATGAACCAAAACCACTTACAGGTCCCTAGTATTTCTGCTCCATAGCCCCAGTGATCATCAGTCTTAACCCGTTCAAAAACCCTGATCCCAATCTCCCAACATGGTGACCAGGCTCTGACACAGCCTCAGAAGCCTTCTTAACACCATGTTCCATTACTCCGCCCCACTTCAAGCTCCATGGCGCCACGCACCGGGAATGTAGTTGAACTGCAGCTCCTTGGCCACTGGCCGGATTTTCTGTCGGAGGTCTTGGTAGCGGAAGCCGAGCACCTTGCCTTTAAGGGTGGCGGCCAGCAGCTCTCCGCGTCCGCCCGCGCCGCCTGCCAGCCCGTACACATTGCTCTGCGACGAGAAGCGCGTGAAGCTGTCCTCGCGCAGCGGGCAAGGCCCCGCGGCCACGGCTGCCTCCCCCATCTCGCCCCTCCGCAGCTCCCGCCGTGGCCCGCCCTACCCGGCCCACAGCTCTCTAACCATCGGGTGCTTGTCTGGGGCGCACACTAATGACGCAAAGAAGCTGCGGTCGCTGCCCCATACAAAGATGGCGCCCAGCTCAGAGTCCCTGCGCGCCTACTCAACTTTCTCCTATTGCGCCTGCGTGCTTTGTTTTTCCAGTTCATTGACAGGGTAAAGGGGCTGCTAGGAGGCCCAGAGATGGGACGTGGGTAGGCTTAACGTAGGCCATGTGAAAGGTTGAATAAAAATAATCACAAAACTTAATATTGTCCTTGCATGCCAGGAACTACTCCAAGTGCATCCCCTCTAACAATTTATTCAAAACTCACAAGTAGGCAGAGATAGGTACTCTATTCATTTTACAGATGGAGGGGAGGTAATTTGTCTAAAACCACACAGCTAGTGAGAAGCAGTGTTGGAACCCAAACAGAATAACCTCACAGTTACTTTTGTGTGTGTGTGTGTGTGTGTGATATTGGGGTTTGAACTCAGGGACTTGGGATCACTTAAATCACACTTCCAGCCTTCACAGTTCATTTTAACATCGTAAAAGTGGTGAGATGCGTTCTTATCCTAAGAGAAAAGGCCCAACGCTCTCTCTTGGTAGTAAATAACCACCTCATTTATTGAATGCCTATTTGGTGACATTTGACTCAATTATCTCGTTACAACCGACCACTCTGCTGAAGGACCTGTTGTTACCTCACCCTCACACATTGAGATTTTACTCAGTGCCAAAACACCCTTTACAATTTTTCTCGAAATCCTTGCAAGAACCCTAGAGGACCTTTGTTTTTATTTCATTTTCTGACAGATGTGTGCCACTATGCAAAGATATTTATGACTCTACTTTACAGAGTCTGTAACTGAAGCTCAGGGAGAGAGTGGAGGAGACAAGCTTCCTTGTCCCTGAGAGGGTTTCACTTTCAAACACGAAGGGTTTGTGACCCTGTGCACATCTGTGGATCATGTCCAGAAGACATGGGTTGGTCAACTGCTCTGGTCACCCTGACTAATCTGTCACTCCCCTCCCGGCAGAACACACACACACACACATACAAACACAAACTCCTCAGCTGCAGGCTCCACGCAGGTGACCTCCCTTGGTCACAGCCAAAGCTCAGTACGTGGACAAGGCCTGACATGTACCAGGCACTCAGTAAATATGTAAGTCACCAGCCATGTGCCAGGCCCTCTGCCAAGACCCTGGGACATTAGCACAAAGACAGCATATGGAAAACTTCTCAGTCACCACTGGCTAAAGAAGGTGGTAAAAAGGTCAGGCAGTTTGATTTCTGGATTTGGTGAGGAAGTGCTACTGGTGGGCAGGCAGGTCTGGGGCTGCAGCTGCTCCTGGGACCTGGCTCACAGCAGGTGCTTCCTGAAGCCTCCCTGAGTGGATGGGCTGTCGGGGCTGAGCTGCCCCTGCTCAGGTAGTTTCCTCACATGGCAACGTGTAAACCACGTTCATCTAATCATCACTGAGTAAAGGCATAAATAAATGAAGTTATGTGCTGGCAAGGAAAGGACTGTCCTGCTTACAGGATTCCACCCTACTGAACATTTGAACTACATAAGCAGCTTCCAGAAAACCACACTTAAGAATAGGAACCTCAATCAAACCAGTAGGGAGTGGCCCATGCTAAACAACACTTAATGATTTCAAAGTACTGCCAAGGCTGAGAATCACTTAAGTCACAAATGGCAGAAAAAAGATTCTCACAGACCTCAGCCAGTGCCCTCAGTGGACACTGGTCACCAGTTTTAGGTCTCAGGTGTTGTCACTATGCTCTGGGCAGTCATTATTAACTGACTGGAGTTGTGGAGGGAGTTGGAGAGGACAGAGCAGGGCAGGGTGTCCAGGTGGGCCACTGTCCACAAGGCACTTGAGCTTGGCGCAGGCTGGCATGCTGGAGCCAGGACCAGTAGCTGCGAGGTTCCCAGACAGCCCCTTCCCTGCATGGTTTCTGCCCTGCTCACTTCCTGTCCTCCCGTCATCTGTGACTGTGCCCCAGCACTGAGTCTCCTCTAGCCCAGGCTGCTCACCTGAATCATGGGTAGACCCACCTTGCAGAGTGTTGGGTGTGGGGCTTCTGCCACCTCCTTTGCCAGCCCCTAGATCCCCTCGGGCCTCATACTCTGCCCACCAGGGCCATCCTGGGACAGATGGAACAAGTGGCTGTCTTCCAGGGAAACGTGGATGTGGGGCAAGAACAGAGTCAGTGGGCCCCTTCCACCTGTCTCCCCCAAAACATGACAAGTGCCTGCTGGAGTCTACCCTTCAGGTGGCCCTGAGGAGCAGCTGAGGGAGGCTGTCAGACCCCAAAGTCCTAGAGACCTTAGGTCAAGCCCAATGTTCTGGCACTCCCCACTGCAGCTCCCCCCGAAGACCACCCTCCCTGAGTTTCCAGCCCAGCAGCTGCCCACCCAAGCCTCCTCCCAGTCAAGGTGGCCCCAAGGATGTGTCCCCATGTCCCACAAGATGGCACGGGATTCAAGAGGGGAATGATGCTGCAGGTCAAGAGGGCAGCAAAGGTGAAGAGGAAGAAAGACTCATGCAAAAGTGGCGGGTTTTATTTCCTTCTTGTGCCAGAGGCAGCTTCTGACCACCAGCAGACAGACCTGGAAGCTTTGGGGGAGGAGTAGGCAGGTGAAGGTCTGGACTCTAGGGCCTGGGTCTAACCTGAGAGGCTGGGGCTGCAGGAGGCTGGGGGAAGCTCCTGGCACAGGGGGCTTCCTCCATCCCCTCACACCCCATGGTGAGAACAAGTCTCAGCAGCTACATGTGCTCAGAGCTTGGCTGTGGAAAAAGGTGAGAGATGGAAACCAGCCCTGCAACTCAGCTGCTTAGGAGTGGGGGACCAGATGCTGACCCCATGCCCCCAGCAGCACCCCAGCCAAGAAGTCTGTATCCAACATCTGTCCAGCTGGTCCAGGTGGAGGAGGATGCTGTTAGGTTAAATAAATGGGTACAGTGGGGGATGTAGCGAGAACAGAAGATGACTGTCCAGCTAGCAGGCCCCACGCTGGTGCCCCGAGCCAGTGGTGTTGAGCCCGCTGTGGCCCGTGTGGCCTGCAGACTCCCAGTGGGCAGGGAAGGAAGGTCTTGGGCATGGGTCGGGCCCATCTCTCTGGACAGATGGGACAGGAGGGCAGCGGGTGGCACCTAGCGCAGGTCTTCCTCATCACCCTGGACCGTCTTCTTGATGCGGAGCAGCATGGTGGTGAGCCACTGGTCCAGCCTTGAGACGGAGTCGTACTCCTTCACCTGCAGCCACATCACAGGTGGGGGTGGCTGCCACAGGCTGGGTCATGAGTCCCCGGGGGGTCAAGAGGTGCCCCTATCATTTTGGTCTCCAGGAGGATGGGAGGACCAGCCTGGCAGCTCCCATCTTTACTACATTTCCTTTGCCAAGCTTCCTTGTCTTAGGGGTGGAACAAGGCTGGAGGTATGAAGAGGGCCTGGCCTCCAGGCCTGGAGAGGTGGGACAGGCCACCAGTACCCACCTTTCCCAGGTTCCCACCCTCGGGGCCAGTGGGATGGGAAGGAGTTGGTCTCTGTCCTTAAGTTTTCTGGGGCATCTAAGGAAAGACTGTGGCGAACACTACCTAAAGAACCAAAATAGGAGCTAGCTAGACACTACAGAGTTCCATAATGTTCAGAACAGAGTAAAGGAAGGAGAACTAGCCTGATGGGGCGGGTCTGTGGGGAGAGGGGAGTCTGCCCTCAGCCATGTGTTCCTGTTCCTCCTAGGGTACCCGACATGACTGATATGACATAGCCTCAACTGCTCAACCTGAGTGGTGCAAAGACCTTGCCCTTTGGGGGGTAGACAAAGGTGGGTCTGAACCCAAGGGGTCAAAGTGAGAACCCTTCCCTCCTCAGTCTTGGTGCTGCCACCTATAAAATGGGCAAACACTCCCCGTACCTCTTGAGGTACATGTAAGGATTCTGGAGTGGCAACAGAAAAGGAACTTGCAGTCAGGGCCTGCAGACCATTGATAAAGGAGTAAAGTCTCTGGAAGAGTGCACTGGAGGAGGGCAGCCTGGGGGGCCCATCCCCTAAGGGGACCTACCCACCTGCACCAGCCACTCACCGACTCTGTGTAGCTGTCCACATTTTGTTCTTCATGGGCATCTAGCAACTTCTGCAAGCAAGTGACAGGCAGGGGTCAGAGCCAGGCTGGCCTGAACTAGATCCATACATATGCTATGGGGGATGAACCAGAGGGGGACTCCCAGCAGAGGAAGAAAGACTATGGCACAACCCTGTCCTGTTGCCTCATGGGGAACAGCTTGACCCCAGGCAACTGCTGGGACAGAACACTACTGTGTGTGTGGGTGGGTTGGGGTGGTCAAATCCAGCCTACTGGCCCTGTCCCCAGCCCCACTGCCCAAGCTATACCCGTATTATCTAGAATATGGAGACCCAGATGGAAGGAGAAAGAAAACATATGAAACGAAACGGGTCCTTGAGAACCATGCAGAAACTCTGATGGTTATCCGCCTAGAGCCCAGGTTCAGATCCCCCTCCCCAGGCCCCATTCTGACCACCCCTCCTGAGCCCCAAACTCACTTTCACCAGCTTGCATTCCCGGGAATCCGAGAAGGCTGGGAACAGCTCCTCGTACTTCTGGACTGCGAGCTGAACAGCAGGGAGAGGGAGGGGACAAGCTAATAAAGACAGGGCCACTGAAGACACTGGTCTGGAGGGAGGGGACCTGGGAACAGCTGGCCTGAGTCAGCTCTCTGTGCTGCTCCCTAGCCTCCAGACACCTGGTGCTGTGGCTAGGAGTATTCTCCTTGGAGCTGAGCCCAATGTCAGCTTGGCTGCAGAGACGGTGAGGGGAGGGGCTGGGCTTCCCAGGCAGTCCCAGTACCTCCCTCCAGTCTGTGTTGGGCAGGGGCAGATGTGCATGCTACATGCAACACTAGGGCTGGGTGCTCCACTACTCTAACCCTCATGAGGATCCTGGGAGGGTCATGTAGTGGTGAGCCCACTTTGAAAGCAGGGAAACAAACCTAGAGAGAGTACCAAGTGAACAAAACCTAAGTTTGCTGCAAGTGAAGCTCAGTGGTAGAGTGCTTGCCTATCATGTATGGCACCCTGGGTTCCATCCCGAATACCACAATAAAAAAAAAAAAAAGCCAGGCATGGTGATGGATGTCTGGAACCCCAGTCAGTATTCAGGAGGCAGAGGCAGAACTGTGAGTTCTAGGCCAACCAGGGCCACATAGCAAGACACTGTCTCAAAAAAACAAAAGGACAACACAAACTCATAGTTGCCTCACCGGTGCCCACAGGGAAGCAGCACTCAAGGAGGCAAGGAGGTGGAGCAGAGTGGCCAGATGTCAGAGAAATCCAGATCCCGTCTGCTCAGGGAGTTCCAGCTATCAAAGCCCAATGCTGACCACTGCTCCACCCCACTGGCCACTGCCCCTCCCTAGCACTAGCCCCTCTTTTGCCAAAATAGGTGGGGTGGGCACAACGCCACAGTTAAGGTGCCATCAGAAGCCCCACGACCTGGGATGCAGGACTGAAGTGCCCTAGCATGCAGCCTCAACAAGGAGCTTCACCTCGGCCTCAGTGTCTTCACCCATATGATGGTGGACAATGGCCCTGCCTCTATGGGTTGAGGTGGTGAAGGATGCAAAGTAGAAAGAGCTTGCACCCAGTGAGCCAGCAGCTGGGAACGCAACCTCCAGGGCCCAGCAGGATCAGGGTAGAATCACGCCAGTGACAGGCAGTGTTTCCTGCTTAAAGGCCAGTTGGAGGGAGGGGCATGGCCTGGTGACAGACACTGGCGCCTGGGTGGTGATGTGGCTGGTAGGGGCGCTAGACGGCCTTCCAGGCCTGGGCTCACCTTGGCATTGAGCATATCAATGCAGAAGTGGCAAAGTGCTGCTTTGAAGAAGTAGTCCTTGGCGCTGTACTTGAGGAGAGGGCTGTCCATGGCACTGGTCCCCACCTGTGACCATGTAGAGGCAACACTGAGCTTAGGACAGGGAACCCAGGGGCCAGGATCACTGCCAGGCTCTAGGGGCCACCTGGGAGTTGAGTCTTGTGTCCTGCAGTAAGGTCTTATAACTGGAGGCCTCGGGGCAGGGGCAGGGCCAGGGACCAGTCCAGAGAAGTCAGCAGCTGGAGCATGAGTGACCAGGACGTGATGAAGGTGGGGTAGGTGAAAGGAAGCCAGATGTTCACAGGCCTCTAAGCTGCCCAAGGAGGGGAGGCACCCCTGTCAGGCCCCATGGCGGACTGGCACTCAGTGGGAAGAGAGGCGGCAGTTCCAGGAACATGAGAGGCGGTGCCCGCCCCTCTCTCCCCAGGGCCAGCTGCCTGCCTTTCTCATGGCCATAGCCCAGCCCTTCTGGCACAGCAGAGGAAGCCCACATGGCACTCCCTGCCTCCCACTAGGGATGAGGGACCCAGCTCTGCCACCCATGGCCAATCCTCCCACTGCGTCTTCACTGGTTCTGCAGAGCTGCCTACTCCAGGCCTCCAGCAGCTGTGAGGGTGGAAGGGCACATGTAGGAAAGGGGAGTGTAGGTGGAGAAAGCACAAGGTAAGGGCCACAGGGAGGGCAGTGCAGAGAAGGAAGGGAGGGGTGTGGAGGGCAAGGCACTAAGAGAAGCCCAGCTCCACCTGGCCCCACCTGCTCGTAGATGTCGATGGCCTTCTGGTACTGTTCCAACTGGGCAGCATAGCCAGCCACCTTCAGCAGACACTTGTTGGCTGAGCTGTGGGGAGGAGGGGCCATCAGAGGAGGGGGTGGCAGGTCCCAAGTCACCACCGTGGAGTGGGCAGGCAGGGGAGGGACTACCTGTTGGACTCCTCGCCTTTGTAGTAGTCTGCAGACTGCTCATAATGGGCGATGGCCTGGGGAGACATGAGAGGGCACTGGAAGGGAGGGCAGCAGAGGGAGAGGTGCCTTGGTGTGGCCTCATCTCCTTTAGCCCTGACCCTGACTGGGACACAGCCAGATCCCTTTAACCCACTCTGCCAGCACTGTAGGTTCCTGGAGGGAAGGAGGCCCGGCACCTGCTCACCTTCTCGATGTCCACCAGCTCCGTCTCATAGATCTCCGCGATGGAGATGTGGTGCTTGGCTGCGATGGTGAATCGGCCCTGGGGGGGACACAGCCATCCTTCACGCTGCGCCTCTCCCCCACTCAACCAGATCTCTTCAGGGCCCGCCTCGGGGCAGGGGAGGGTGTGGTCACACAGAGGTGAGGTGTGACAGGGCACACAAGAGCCACGGCCTGGTGGGGGTCCCTCACCTGGCTCCCTGCCTTGGCTTGGCAGCTGCCTGTCTGAGCTGGGCCTTCTCTGGGCTCTGTCTAGCCCTGGCTGCCAAAAGTCACTAATCAAGAAACACTAGTAAGGAAGGTCCGGCAAAGGGCGTGTGCCGGATAAACACTCCAGTAGCCATGACTTATGCAAAGGAAAACTGATTGGGGCGGGGGATGGGGGGTAGGGGGGTGGGGGGCGCTGGGACTGGGGAAGGATCCTGTCAGCCCTGAGCAGCTCAGGGAGACCCCATACCCCGGCTCTGACCTGATCCTGCAGAAGGACAAGGAACACTGCTGGTGGTGCCAGAGGAGGGGGACAGGAGAAGAGGCTGGGGTACAGAGGGGCCAGAACAAGTAAGTGAGCTCTACTTACCATGTCTGTATAGATCTCGATGGCTCTCATCAAACAGTTAATGGCCTCTGGAGAGAGACAAGGAAAGTGAGATCATTTCAGTAGATCCCTGGATCCCTAGGACAGGAGGTAGCCACAGGGTCTGGTGGGAATCAACAGTTGTCCATTGTGGGCTATGGGACTGAGCTCTGAGCTCCTAGGAAACCTGGCCAAACTGATTTTCCCTGCACACTGACATTGGCTGGACACATCTCTCTCAGGAGCTCTTCCTCTTTGGGCCACCATAATGCCACCATGTTCCCAGCAGTTTCAGGGACAGGGCACAGCAAGACTCCCTTGAGTGTTTGGGGCCTGACTTGCCAAAGCCCTGCTCTTGAAGGACTGAAATGCTGGAATGGGGCAGATGGGATCTGCCCCTGAGGTGGTCTTGGAGGCAGCAGGACAGCCAGGCTCTACCTGGGCTCTGCCACCATCACCGTAAGACCCTGAACAGGTCTGACCTGGACCTCTGGCAGGAGGCTGAGTAACAGGTTCCCTCAGTGCAGACTCCCCACTGCCCTCTCCCCCTCTCCCAGCTGGTGGTCAGCACAATCCTCTGCTGTCTGCCCCACCACCCTCAAATGGCAGGTTTTGCCAAAACAAACAAACAAACATGCCTGGGTGGCACTGCAAGGAGGAACCGGGCTACCTTTGTTGTACTATCTCTTGCAAGATTTCAAATTTGGGAAAAGCATCTTTTTTGACAAGTTATTTGGAGGAAAGAGAAGCATGAGTGGGAGGCATTTTCTAGCACTGAGAAAGGAGCTCTGAGGATGGGATCTTTTAAAAGCACGTTAATGCATCTCAGGAGAGGAGGTGCTGAGGGAGGAAGGATTGGGGGAGACAGAGGGCAAGGGGCAGAGAACACAGGCTATGGGTTGAGTAGGGTTCAGGACCTTCCACCATTCCTGCTCCCCACCTAGCCCAGCGGGTTGAGAGTAGCCTGGGCTGAGGACACTCCCAGGAGGCAGGCTGAAATTAGGGAAAGTTTGGGACTCATAGAAACAATGTTACACTTCAGATTGACCATGCTTTGGCTCAGGAACTGCCCTCACCTGGCCTGGGAACTGCCCATGTCTCTCCCCACTCATTGCTTATTATTGGATGGGCATACACTTGGTTCCTCCCTTCCCATAGGTTGGTGTAGGTTTTAAAAGCACCTGGAGATGGGAAGCATGCTCTTATAGCCTCCAGATCCCACCTGGGCCCCACCATACTCCCTTTGTATTTCCCTTCCCTAACTTTTAATAAACTCCATTTACACCCATGTGTCCTGCCATGGATTCTTCCATGCAGGACAAGAATTTAGAAATCTGATCACAGACTGCACTGGTGCCCGTTAACACCAGGACTGCCTTCAAGGGGCACAAGGTGCAGCCAGGACACCAAACTCCCTCAGGAGATGCCTGAGATAGACTCTTATCCTCAGGCTGTGGCTAAGCTTTCAGGGGGCCCACACACTCTAAAACGTACAAGCAAAAAGCATTTGCCTGGGAGTCTAGGGGTTCCGTGCAGTTCCAAGTGGCCTCTGGGGACCCAAAGATGACTCAGAATGTACAGCCTTCACTGGGCTGAGGCAGCAGAAGAACAAAGGAAAGGGGAGGAGGTGGAAAGTGAGCCGGAAACTGTTCACACACACATGCACGTGCACACTTTTGTAACAGAACAGGTCGGAAAGCAATGGATGAGCTAGCAACCAGCTGGGCCTGATGCTGGGGAGATCTGGGGAAATAGGTAGCAGCAGCCCTGCACCACCCACCATGTGGTTCCCCTAACCTGGGCCCAGCCGCTTGTTGGCTCCTTTTTCTGGCCAAACCCTGGCTGCCCAAACTGACCCCCTGCAGCTGAGGTGGCAAAGGCTGCACCCCAGTGAGAGCAGCTGCTGTTTTGCTGACAGGGCTCTGTCAGTGAGCAGTGGCCCCTGCGATGGCAGCAGGGGAGGAACACGGAGTCACAGGGATAAGTCTCCTTCATGCCAGCTCCTCACTCTGGGAACTGCTGTCCTGGAAAGAGATAGGCCACCAGCCACACACCCTGGCCTGCCCTTGGACAAGCTTCTGATATACTTGCTTCCATAGGGTTTATCTCAGGCTACCAGGCCTCAGTGCAGCCCCAGACAAACAGAGCAGGGTCTAGCCCCTGGTTAGCCCTGCCCCATGTGGGTGCGCCTGCAGAGAGCTGGAGGGTCTGGGGAGGTTGGGCCAAGAGAGGCCCATGCTGCACCCTCTCTAGCTGCTGCCACCTCTTGCTGAAGCTTTCACTGGACACACCTGGGGCTCAGCCCACCTCCTCCTGAATATGACAGGGAAAATCACAGAATCCAGCAAAGACATGGACTCAGCTAAAAGATGCCAGGTATCTGATACACTTACCATCGAGTGTGGGAAGGGAGAGAACAAGTGGGGGCCAAGCCCCTTCCCTGCCCCAGCACCCTCCATGTCCACACAGAGCAGCTAACAGTGGTCAGGAAACTCTGAGAAGCCTCAGGCAACATCCCCCAGTGCCACCTCTGCAGGGGGAGAGGGTGCCTACAGGGAGTGAAGTCCAAAGGCCTCAGTTGCAAGGCAGCTGCTCTGAGAGACCTCCAGAGTCTCCTGTGGGGAGGGCAAAGGGCGAGGCCATGGGGCAGGAGGGGAGCTCACCAAGGAAGGCCCCTGTTAGGGAAAATTGGGCTGCCAGGGTGCTAATATCCCTCTGTTTCCCAGGACTCCAGCATGGGTGGGGTGGGGGCTGTGGAGCCCCAGCCAGGCAGGGGCTGCCCCTTCACCGGATGCCAGGGGCCTTGCAGGGCATCTGCATCATCTCATAGCCGTCCTGTGCTTTAACTCAGGAGATGGCCACATGCTCCCAGACATCAGAGACCTTGTGTCCTCTCTTGGGGGCCACACCTTTCTCTGTGTGCCCTGACTGGCCATGGTCACAAGCAGCTTCACTCACATGCAAATAGGCCTCTTCCTTTCACCCTGGGCTGGCCACAGCCCCTGCCTGTGAACTGTGACTGGGGAGCACAGTGTCAGGCAGTGGGCTGGACACTGCTGTCCCCTTGCCCAGCATGGTGAGATTCTTCTCCCAGCTGTGTCCTTCCTTCCTCCCTGTAAGGCCCTGGCCAAGTCCACCTGCCCACTTCTGCACACACACTCTGTACTTCCTACAGCCAGGGATGGCCCCTGCCCTCCCTCCTCAGATCAAAGGCGGGAAGGCTGCAATGACATTGCAGCCAGTCTGTTGGAAGAGCACATGGTGCCATGCACATATCACACAACCTGGCAGCTGCTGCCCCAGAAACAAGTCCTTCCAGTCACTCCGGATGGAGCAGCAGCTGAGCGTCACAGATGCCAGGTGCCATCTCCAGGAGGCCAGTTCCCCAGGGAGCAGAAGTGAAGGCTCAGGGTGTGTGTGTGGGGGGGGAGGGGGTGGCTCTACAAAGGGCACATGCAGAAACAAACCCCAGGCTGCTCTGGGTCATCAAATCATCCATGAGCCTGAAGTGACTCATGCTACCAGCCAGGTGCATTCGAATTCTCCCAGTCACAAGGCTGCTCCTCTCTGGTCCTTGTCAGGGCCGAAGCCCCACTATGTCACCACTCAGGCCAACATTGTGAGATGCCAGCTAAAAAGGAGTGGCTGGTCAGTCTGGGGACTGACAAAAACTTCTTGGTCTATACAGAGCTCAAATCTCTTACTGGGAACTCTCCCCCATAATGATGATGGGGTGTGGCAGCAACCCCCCAAAACAGGTGGGGGGCATGAAACAGTGCTCACACAGCCTTGGAGAGACCTCTGTCCTCTGTTGCAAACTGTCCTCTCCCAAGAACAGGCCTTTATTCCAAGATTATATATCTCCTTTTTAAAAAACATTCATCTATTTCCACTCTCCTGAGGACAGTGACGCTAGATGGTCAGTTTCAAAAATGTCTTTGCTTGCTAAAATTAGAAGTTAGCAACCAATGTCTGGCACCAAGATTAAAGAAAAAAAAATTCCCAGGGCTGAAGATGCAGCTCGGTGGCTGGACATGTGCTCTGCAAGCCCAAGACCCCCAGGTTCCATCTCCAGTGCTGTAAAAACAACCAAATCAAAATTTCCACCCCAGGAAATCCAAAAATCTGGGCCCATGAGCTGGGCTTCCATGAACCAGAGTGACAACTGTTTTCTGCCTCTGAGTCTGCCCCAAACTGGGCCCCTGCCCCCACACTCTCATCTTAAGGATCCTGTTCTCTGGCAATTCAATCTGAGGCTCTGTTCTCTCATTTTCCCTAGGGTGTGGGGAAGCCAGGTTAGGATAATTTCCGCTCCCTTTTCGGCAGCGACTCCTACCTGGCTGGTCTCAGGACGCCCCCGCTGCCTTCTGCATGTTAATTCTGACAACAGAACAGCTTTGCCTCTCCCTGGCAGGCAGTGGGTCTGAAATGTGACACCCACTCCCAAATGCTCGCAGGCCAGGGAGGGGGACGGCTATGCATCCCAGAGCTAGAGAGTGGGGATGTGGAGCAGAGTGCGGGTGCCAGCAAAGGAGGAACTGGCTCTGAAATGAAGGCTTGCTTCGCCTCCAGCCTATCACATGTTGGCCACTGGAAAAACCCAACCTACAGACCCCTGAGGTCACGCAAAGAGGACAGTGTTCAGCTGCTCTGGGCAGCAGCCCACAGGTCCACAGAGGCCCTTACCTTGCGGGTCGGCTTTCTTGAAGGCGTTGCCGGCATCCACAAAGCAGGTGGCTGCATCGTGCTTACTCTGGAGCTGGAGGTGCAGTTGGGCGGCCTGGCAGAAAGCGTTCCCGGCAGCTGGAACACAAGAGCACAGCATAGGGGTCCTGGATTCTGTGGATCTGCACAAAGATTCTACAAGAACCCAAGAGTCCCCAAGAGCAGCAATGGTTGGCTGCAGTGATCCAGGGGAGGCCCAGACCTCAGGTTTTCTGAGCCCTGGGCAGAGGCTGCTCCTGGGCCACCTGGTGGTATGAGGGAGCCTGGAAGTTGAGTCCCAGAGGCACAGAAGGAGAGCCAGGGTGAGCCCAGCTCAGATCCCATGCCCCTCATTCCAGTCTTTAGCAACATCTCCAGGTCCAGCAGCACTACAGATCCGAGGAGAAGGCAGGCAGAGCGGAGAGCTGCCTGGACACAAAACCCAGGCTTGGAGGCTCAGGCACCTCTTGACCTCAGCAGCTCTCCCTAGGGAGCCTGGAGCCAGAGGGCCAGCATCAGCACTAGAAGACATGGTGGAGGCGGAATCATAGGGTTGTTCTGGGAAGGAAGGGGCAAGCGAGATTTAGCTACCTAAGCTCTGGCACTTGCTCCCAATTTCTTAGTCCTGTTCCCTATACCCCAAAGCTCTTCCTGCTGAATTCCCCAACCCTGTTTCTCTGCCCTCATGCTGTCACTACAGGTTACTGTGGCAAGCCACAATCACAGGGAGGCACATGGTGGGGGTGACAGAGTCCATGCCCAAGAAGGGAAACAGGACATGGCTGCAAGAGTTTAAGTCTGGGACTGGGGGCGTGGTTCAAGTGGTAGAGTGTCTGCCTAGCAAGCATGAGGCCCTGTGTTCACTCTCCAGTACCACCTCCCCACCCCACCAAAAAAATAAATAAAAAAAACAGAGCTCAAGTCTGGAAAGAAAGCATCCACAGCCAAGGCTCAGGCTGCCCTGTATTCATCTGCACGTGGTCACCTTCCAGGTTCCGAGCCATTCCATTCCTGAACTGACTTTCGGGAGGCAGAGGACCTCTCCCTCTGCAATGGGGCTCCACCACCACCTACAGCTCTGTGCTGAGCTCCTGCAGCAAATTCAAATCTATGCCTTGGAATTCCTGAGCTGGAGGACACCCCAGAGGCTTGCCTCACCCTCTAACTGGAGAGTAGAAGCACACAGGGCCTGCCAGGGCTTTGCTCCATGGTTATTTTAAGAGTCTGAGTCAAGTATCTCAAGAAAATGGGATGATAGGGAGAATGGCCTAGACCTGTTTGGATCGCTGGGAGTGAGGGAGACAAATTTTAGGGGAAAAGTAGTATGTCAATATGTGTGTGATTAAAAAGCAGGTGTTCCTTCACAAAAGGCCCCTTATCAGTTTTGGAGTACGAAAACCACAAGGCCTTGGGCTTTACACACAATGTACCTTGTGAAAGCTCAGGAAAACTCTTAGAATTCTCCAGAACCCAGGAATGGTGTAATTTAGTCTACCCTACACCTCTGCACCCTGCCTCAAAGGTGCTACCCTCAGGTTTGTCTCCCCCATGTCCAGAAAGCTCCTCCCCCAATCCATCCTTGCTGAAAGTGGAAGCTGTATCATGACATCAACCTCAACAGGGCTCCACATAGGGTTCCAGATCTCTCCTCCAGGTGGCAGGCAGCCCCAGTGGACCCTTGCCTTGCTGCCTGGAAGGAACCCTCCCTGCTGCCTCGCCTTGGGGAGGCACATGGGCTCTGTCATCAGGGTCCTGGTTTCTGAAGGTTTGTTCTGTTGCTTATTAGTCAGGGCACCTTGGGCAAAGAGGGGCTGACCATGTCCCATCTTTAGCATCTGTAAAACGGGATTTTTAAGGGAACCCTCAGAGGGTTGCAGTGATGATGCAATCAAACTATGCACCTGGGTACTTAGGAGCCCCAGAAGTGGCAGCTGGGATTGCTGCTGGTAGAACCACCCGGAGGTACCCTAACCCAGAACGTGGCCTCTGATGCAAACAAGAGGGAGCAGCTTCCAGAAAACCTGAAATTCTGAATTGAGAGAGAAAGAGCTCATCTACAACTGAGCTAGAGCTCCAGTCCCAGGGATACTTTTTTTTTCTTTTTAAATAAAGTGCACCCTCTTAGGGCTTTCTCACCCTCCAAACAGTATCTATGAACTTCCTTCTGACTTGGGTCCCCCACTCCCTCATTATTAGCTCAAACCCATACCAAGATTCAATGCTCTATTCATCCTTCCTTGATCTCTATTCTTTCACCTTGACCTAAGGTGCACAGTAGCCCACTGAACGCGGGCAGTGGGCTCCTGACGCTGGGCGGGGGCTGCAAAGCTGAGTTTCGGTGCAGAGCTGGGGAGGAGAGGGGGAAGAGCTCTGGCAGAAGCACATACCACTCCAGTTTTTGGCCATCTTGAACATGTTTGCTGCTCTGGCGTAGATCTCGCACGCTTCCTCTACTTTGGATGAGCCTCTGGGGAAAAAGGAAAGGGAGAAAGATAAGGAGACAACCAAGGCTGGTGTCAAAAACAAAGCACATGCTCTGTCTCAGCAAGAGTGGGCATGAGTCTTCCTGCACCCCACCCCATTGCCCTGGGAAGCTCCTTTTCCCAGGCCTCCAAGCAGTAGCCCCATCCCTGCACATAAAGGCACAGTCTGCATAGGCAGAATGGCTGCTCCCTCCCTAGAAAGGACCCAGGTGGGTGCCCATCCTGGTGGTGGTGGTGGTGATGACGGGGCCTCCTGACCTCCTCCCAGTTTCTGAGAGCCTCTTCCACTTCCTGACTGCATTGTGGGTGACCAGTTGTGGGTCCCAGGCACTCTGCAAATCCCTTTTCCCTGGAGATGCAAAGCATTCTGGGGGATGAGCCCAGTTGTAGACACCTTGCTGCTTTCCCCAGTGCCTTAACTGTGTACATTGTATACTGTTCCACAAAGACCTTGTCACACTAGGAGTGTGTCATTACAGTTCAGAGGTGGGCACATACAGCCATACAAGGGAAAAGAAAAACAAAAACAAAGAAATATGATTGCAAGATAGAAATATAAAATGCTCCCATTTGTGTCAAAAAAAAAACAGATGAGAAGAATAGAAGCATACATGTTTATAAACACAGAATATTTCTAGAAAAATACACAAAAACTTAGTAACAGCATTTTTCTAAGGTGGAGTCTGTGGAACTAGGGCCAGGTGTGGGAGGCAGACTTATTACTGTACACCCTCGTTCCTACTGTCTAATTGTTTTTTTTTTCAAACCATATGCACATTTTATCTATTCAAGAAAAATTTCTGTATTTTAAAATTAGGATTTACATCTGACCCTGCTGTTCACATTGAATTATACTTCTCGAAACCTATCCTAAGAAACAAATGAGAAAAGTTGCAAGGACATTCAGAATAGCATTTTTATTTATTTATTTATTTTTTGTGGCGGTACTAGGGTTTGAACTCACTGAACTATATCCCCAGTCCTAGGGATACATTTTTTGGGCATTACTGGGGTTTGAACTCAGGGCCTCATGCTTATTAGAAAGGTACTGTACAACTTAAGTCACACCCCAGTCCATTTCTGTGCTGAGTATTTTTGAGATAGGGTCTTGGTTGCTTTTTATTTTTTTGGCCTGGACTGGCTTAGAACTGAGATCCTCCTGATCTCTGCCTCCCAACTAGCTGGGATTACAGGCGTGAGCCATCAGCACCTAACTGATAACATTTATTTATTTTTTAAAATTTTTTATTTGGCTTCTTCTGAGAACAGTTGAGAAAAAAAAAATCGCTGATACATTAAAAAAAGAAAAATAAGCTGCATCCTCTTTGGGCTTTGCCCTGGCTTCTCAACCTCGAAACAGTACCCGTGAACTCTGACGGGACCCACCTGCATTAGTGGCTCAAACGCCTAAGCCCAGCCTGGTCCTCTGTTCTTTCAGCCTCAAGCATCTCAGCAGGCCTCGCCCCTGAGGCCCATGGTCTCTGTGACTGGTCAAACTCCCATTGCCCGCATAACCAGTAGGCCAAACTCCACACACTTGGGAGACCCACAGATTGAATTCTAGTTCTTCCCATACTGACACAAGCAGCGTCTTGTTTGTTTGAAAGGAAAAACGGGGTGCTTTACCAATGGAAGGCCACACAAATCCTCTCCATCCCATCCTTCCCCAATGTCAAGTGGCCCCACACTGCGCATAGCCAGAAGCTCTGAGGCACTCCTTGCTGCACCACTTCTTTGTGTCTTCTTTTAGTTATTTTTCAGGTAAGTTCTCACATTTTTGCCTGAGGCCAGCATCAGATGCAATCCTCTTACCTACGCCTCATTCATGTCTGGGACTACAAATGTACACCACCATACCTGGCTTGCTGGTTGAGATGGGGTCTCACTCTTTTGCCCAGTCCTGCAAGGTTCTCTCTTTTTTTTTTTTAATTTTTAATTAATTTATTCACATGTGTATACATTGTTTGGGCCATTCCTCCTCCCTGCAACATTCTCTTAAAGGGATATGTTCATAGACCTTTAATCACACATCTGCCCATGCACTGACCCCCAATTCCTCCTTCCCTTCTTCATGGGTACAGCTTAGTTCTACCCATCCCCAGCTGTCCTTTGGAAGAGTTCAGGCTCCTGACAGAGCAGAAATGACCCAACATACTAAGAGGCCCAAAGTGGTTAACGACAATGAGCAGTCAGTCTGAGTCAGGTTTGTTTTGGCTCAGCGGGACAGAACAGACACAATACAAAAGCAAAGCCTGTCAGCTGCCCAGGCCAACTCTCTGATCCCAGGCTAAGCAGGGCCAGCCTGGTGCCGTGTCAAGGATTTTGACTGCAAAGTGGAAAAGTCAGGGGATTACCTTCTGCTCAGGCCCCAGGCTGCTTCCCTTGGCCCTGCATACACCAGTCCTGGCACTGCCTCACAAGGTGACAGATGACGGCAGAAGATCTCTGAATCCCAACCTCTTCCCACAGAGATGGGAGGGAAGTCCTCAAAGGAGTAAGTGACTTGCATAGGTTTAGTTGGCAAATCTTGAAGAAGCAGGGGACAAACATCTGAGCGTCTGAGATGATGGCAGTAGACAGAGGCAAAGGCCACTCACAGTGACCCATGCACTGTGGGGCTGGGGAAGGCCACATCTGAGAAGGGAGCTCAGGGCCATCCAGACACAGGGAGGAGCACTCCAAAGACCCCAAGTCAGGTGCATACTGGTGAGCTCAAGGAAGAGAAGTAGCGCAGGATGGCCACAGTGTGTAAAGTGGCAGGAAAAGAGGCTGGAGACACCTCAGGCCAGAGATCCTGTTCCAATGCAACAGGCGGCAGAGAGACTGGCCAGGAGGGAGAAGCCCCAGCTACCAGCTCCACTAAACCGTCTCTGCATGTTCACTCCAGACTTCCCATGCCAGGCCAGGTGGGCTCATGCCACCTATCCAAGGGACCTCCTGACTAAAACTGCAGACCTTCCCTCTCTACCTCCTGTATGATATCCACAAAAGCTCCTCTGGAAGGGTGTGAGTGGCACAGTGCGTGTGACAGCTAACAGTCCCTTCTGTGTTGACCTCCAGGCTGCCTCCATTGCACTTTTCCATCCCCTTCTCCCCCCTCACCCCTCCCCACCAAGCCTCGCCAGGTTAGGAATAGAGGGAACTGGTTTGGGCTGGCCTGGTTCAGGGCTGTCTATAATTACCATAGTTTTGCTCTCTCCCCCTCCCAACATGGAGGAAGCAGTCTTAGGTCTCCCAGGCGCAGCCACCAGCCTCCAGCAGCTGCCATATGGAGGGCTGTGTGCTGCCAGGAAAGCCCGGGCCCAGGTGGGACCTGGTCAGGACTCTGTGCAGAGGCAGGCTCAGCTTCCCTCCCTCTCACCTCCATCCCAGGCACTTCCTGGGCTGGCTCCAGAAACATGCCCTTCTCCCCCAGCACCCTAAGGACCTCAGAAGGTTGAGCAGAGGAGCACCTCCCCATCTGAGGACTGAGATCCTCTCTCACAGGCCTGTCCTTCATGGTTCTTTCCTGACTAAGGGCCCACTCACCTGATTTTCCAGCAGTAGCCTCAGCGGGGAAGAAAGGATCCCGGGGCCTGCCATGTCCTTAGATGCCTCAGTGCAGCTCTCAAGGTACCTTATGTGTGTGTGCCTTCACAATGCCAGCGTTGGGCGCCAGGGCCCAGGGGTATTACTGAATATGACCACCCTGCGTTACACAGGACAGGTCCCTCAGTGGGTGTGGGGTCTGTCCAACTGACACTGCATGAAGTGGCAGGGCTGGGAAAGGAGCTTTGGACTCTGCACCCCTATCCTGCCCTTGACTCTCACTCAGTATCCCACAGTGCTCTGGAAAATGAAGAGGGCGAGCCAGGTCCCTGCCTGCCAGCATCTCCTTGGGATGAAGCAGCCAAAGTGGCCACTTCTTCCTGACAAGTGGACTGTACTCTCTGCTCAGCAGTGCTGAGCCTCCTCTAGGCCGGGGGTGGGGCGGGTGGGTAGGGAGGGGAATGAATGACACCAGCCCCCTGCCGGGTTCATGGTGACAGTGCAACAGACAGAAGGAGCAAGAGGAAAGGGAAAAGCTGGTGGTGAGGGCCACCAGCTCTGCTGCTCCTCCACCTGCATTCCCACTGGCCCTGACCCTCTTGATGCTGTCCTGTTGTGCAGCTGCCTCTCTAAATGGTGTATGATATGAGCCTCAGCAGGCTCTATGCACCCATCTCCCCACACTGCACCAGCCCCAGTGACAGCCATCAAAGAATAAAGGTTATATGCTGCCTGCCCAACTCTGAAGTGGCCCGGTGGCCTCCCATGCACTGCAAAGAGCAAGGGGTAGAAAGAGAAGGACTCTGAGCATAGAAACCTGGGTACAAATCCGTTTTAGGAGATTTGCTAAGTATGGGACCTTGGACAAGTAATCTGGAACCTCCCTCTCTTTTGTTGTAAAGTTGAGACATGAACCTAGCTGGAAGGAGTCAGAGGAGTAGAGTCTAGGGATACTCGATGCCTGATACGGGCATAGCACAAGCAGATGCTCACACAGCAGCTATGACAGGCAGGAGAAGAAACATACTGAGGTACCAGCCACCGAGACATGGGGACTCCAGCATCGCCAGTAGTGCTGGCAAAACTGCTGAGTAGACAAGCAGTCCTCGGTTCAAGCACCAGCCCACTGCTTCTTCCTCTGTCCCTAGGGACAGGACTGTCTACCTTGTGGGCTGCTGGAGCATCAGTGCTCTCTCAGACAGGGCCAGCAGAGTGCCTGCCACACAGCAGGTGCATGTAAATTACTGCATCACTGTCATCAGGCCCACAGACAGTACAGACACAAAACTGTCTTCCTACTTGAGAATCTCAGTGTGGGCTCCTGGGCCTCCACCTCTGGGTTGGCTAAGTGCCACCTGACCTTTGGATTCCAGAACCCAGGGTCTCCCACTGCTCTGCCCCTTCCCTCACAATGCTGACAATACAGTCAGCCCCTCTATCCTCAGCTTCTGAAACC